GCCAGCTCGCCGTCTGTCCGCAGTTTTTTATTTCACAAACCAACCACTAAAAGCCAGTCCCACATTTACTCTTGTTCGGAGGCTTCTCTCTCATTTTCTCTTCTTAGCTTCCTCCATCAACATCCTCTTAGGTCTCATCGCCTCTGCCATGTCTGCAGAGGCTGCTGAGCCCGGTTACTTTGCCCGCTGGCCTGGCTCCTGTTCTGGCAAGACAGGGGCTCCACTAGCCGTCAGCATTCCCACTGGTTGACCTGGTTGCATTGTGTGCTGCAGATATGTATTAATTCAACTTTCAAATTTCAATTGCATTTCAAATTTAACCCATTACTGGAAACAATCTTGTACAAAAACTTGCATTTGCAAGTTTTGCAACTGGATGGACCCAGTCGTGTACATTTTTGTGGCTGGAGGTGGCAATCGACCACTCTCGGCCTCTCTCTCTCTCTCTCTCTCTCTCTCTCTCTCTCTCTCATGTGTGTGCTGTGTAGGAATCCTGGAAGAATGACCTCATCTAGTCGGAGTGTTTATAGAGCAACGTCAGCCTCCTGTCTCCCCTCACTGTGAGCCCCACAGTGTGTGCAGTGAAAGAGAGAGGGGGAATTAAGAAAGGGATAGAGAAAATTTATTTTAATAGACTTGCAATCAAACAATTATTCAGGCATATAGAGAAATGCAACATATATTTCCATCCAGCCGCACAAAATTGTCAATTTAGAAAAGTGACATGGGTAAAAGTGTAAGGGAAAAAAAGGAATGAGAAAGTCGCTTGATTCTTTGTTTGTTTGGGGACTGAAATTCTCAATAGAAAAACTGTATTTGCCCTATGATACATGTGCAGCATTCCACGTTTAAGAGAACCTAATGGATTGATTCCTATCAGATACAAATGCTATTTTATGGAATATGTTCATGCTCCCCAAAGGAAGAGCCTTTTCCATTTATTACCAAAAACCTTTAACTCTTTTGTAATCTATGGGCTGATTACCATAAATTTGCTGAAAAATCTTCTCATAGCAGATGAACCACATCTGAGTTTAAAGATTCAATAGCCTTAATTCTAATAACACCCTTAGAACTCACACTTTTCCACCTCACTGGTGAGGCTGATGAGATTGGGATTGTCCATCAGCCAGTCTGCCTACTTCTTTAGTCCAGAGTGAAATATTTGATGAATTGCTGGGTTTGGTACAGACATTTATGTTCCCCAGATAATGTACCTCCAACAGGTCAACATTGTAACCGTCAAACTAATTTATATTTTATAATAACCTTTTCTTTAGTGCAAATTAGTAAGTGTTAGCAGCTTTCAGTTAAACTAAATGGGTTACCATGGTAAACATGATGTGGCAAAAATGGTGAACGGTCTTGAGCAGCCCAGTCAAGAACGTGCCCATCTGACCTAGCAGGTGATGTAGTATAAAAAGTCCACTTATGGAGGTGGTGGGGTGGATTGATTGCTGAAACAATCACAGGACTTTCATCTGGGAGGCCGTTGTGTCCCATTTGAAACCAAAAGTGGACATTGACTTCTTTTAAGTTATGTAGCCTACATAAGTTTGATTACGTTTGGTACACAATGTAGGCCTACCTTATGATCATTACATAAGCATTACCAAATAGTTTTTGTGTCACGTCACCCATTGGTTTGTGGAGTATCGTTTTGAAGCTTTGAGTGTGAGCATGTTGGTTTTTCTGAGCCTGCTTCAGCTACGTACTGCAGGTTGAGCTGCCCTCATTAGCTGCGCAGTTTCAACTCGTCCGTAGCAGGAAACAATAGTGGCTCTCCTGGTAACACATGTTCTTGTATTACAGATAACAGTATGCTAAAATATGTTTGTGAAAAGATTTGAGGAGTTAATTCACTATATGAACATCATGCTCTATGGAAGAAGACTTGAAACTAGAGACCTAGACCATAAACTCATTAGGACACTGTTTACTGAGATAATGATGTCTTTAGTTCTGTGTTTTATGTATCTTTTTATATTCTGTTTACTTTCTTTTTCCCTTTCTGTCTTAACCTCTTATATTCATAAAAGCACTTCTAGGGACCGGTATTGCAAATTAGCATATGCTACAAACCTTATGATACTTGAGAAAAGTGAGTAGGCTCGTTTTTCCATATGACATATGACTCCTATCATACTTCTTTTTTGCAGCCTAGACAGCTGCCACCTGCTGGAGATTATAAGGAATTGCAGGTTTAAGACACTTGTGCGTTGGCTTCACTTTACAGGCCTTAGAATCTCTATCCACTCATTTATATTTTATCAGTGGCTTAAACCTAACCAAAGTGTGGCAATTTCACAACATTAACCATATAAGATGTATTATTTATTTACATTATTATTTACTGACTTGACCACAGAGACCCAAAGTGAAACCTTGGGCATCATATTTTGAACTGGAGAGGAAGTGTCAGTATTTGATGAGTTGGGAGTGAGTGTAGCCTCACAGAGCTACTAGCGTTGTTGCAGGCTCTTAGTCTTGTCACACACAAGATATATCATAATGTAATGGGCAGATTACCATGCTCCTGATTGGATGAACCCTTTCGGTTTTAATAATATGAATTTAACTCTGGCACCACCTGCAGGGTACTTACATTTTTAGGCCCTTAACTCAAGATCCATTTTGGATTTTTTTCCAGAGCTTATATTGTGTGGTCTACCCAATATGTTCACATCTGTATGTATGTAGAGAACTTTGCTGCTCTAGTAAGGCTTTGACTTTTACTTCTTTTCTTTTTTTAAGCAGCCTTTTCCCTTACTTCCCATTATTCTCCAAGTTACATTTTATTGTCGCTCCTCTTAAAACCTGATTTTAACCATCATCTCTGTTTGATATCTCCAATATGTCTGAAACCACTCTGCATTCAGCCCGGCCTGGCCTCACATATCACTTTCTGATGCCAAAAGGGATGAGATGAGATGCTTTGTCTCACAGTTTGTTTGTTTTATTTCTCCACTGCGAGTGTAGGCGGATGTCGCCACCGACGAGGAGCTCTGCACAGATGGCAGTCGCTGCTGTGTGTGTACACTCCTTTCCATATGTGTCGGTATATACCTAGGTGTTGTGTGGAAGACTTGCAGTCTGCTGGCCTTATGCTGCTTCTTTTCAAGCTCACACACCCACACAAACACACGCACACAAACACACACACACACACACACACACACACACACATACACAGGGTGTATTTTTAGCTGTCTTGGAGCCTGGGACTGTTGGTGAGCAAAAGAAAGGGAAAGGAAGAGTGGAAAACATTGTCTTTCTTGTAGGATTTTAGTATGTTACGCTTGGATATGGCAGCAGTCTCCATTCTCTTAACTTTCTCACATATTTTTGTATATTGCATATTAATACTATTTAAGGCTAGGTAGCTAGGTAGGTAGTTAGGTAGGTAAGGTAGCTAGGTAGATAGCTAGGTAGGTAGCGAGGTAGGTAAGTTAGGTAGGCATTGCACTGGAACAGTAAATATACATATAACACTAGAAAAGAGTAAAAAACTAAAAATATCTGTTGAATAAATAAATAACAAATGAACTAGCTTTAGCTATTTTTTAATTTCCATTGGACAAACAAATTGTGGACTGTGAAAGAGTTAAATGTTATGAGAGCAAAAATGAGAACATTGGTGAATCCCAGAAATGAATGTGTACTAACAAAATAAGATAAAATCTGAAGACAGTTATGTGTGTTGTGTTGGATTGCATTGTAGCCTGTCTCTATACAGGGGTATTATTTATGAACAAGTCTTTGATGAATTAGCTCTAAAGCCAGCAAAGAGAGGCACCAACACACTTGCAGTATAACACAGTCTGTGGAGTCCTCTCTTGTGTTTAACAGCCATTGATCTCACTCACACTGAGAGCTAAAGGACAAACACAGACTGCCGCTGGTACTCTGTATGTGCATGAGCATCTATTATGTCTCAGTGTTTGCATATTTTAACTCTTTCCAGTTTCCTTTTTGTCTCATGCAGTATTTATAACTTCTCTCTAATTCATGGGCTCTAAGGATCTGTGGTCTGATGATGTGTTGTCACAATGTGAGTTATTAATGTGAGTAACTAACCTGACATTAAAAAGCAACTTAGCTACCCGTTTTTTCTTGACCGAACCCTTTCCTATATTCAGAAAATGCAGTCAGATCCAGACTATGCAACATATTTCTAAATTTTTTGGGGTCTACACTACTGGTTCCCAACCTGGAACGGTAAAGACCTGAACACAAGAGCCTTCACTCTCTGATAAACTGCCTTATCCAGTTTAAAACAACCAAAGAGCTAATAGAAAAATGAGAAGAAAACACTGAATTTGTCCAAAAAGAAGCCTATTAAGTATGTACGATTGCTAAACATTTAATATAATGCAGACAGAGAATTGGATAAAAAGTTACAAAAAATATCAGGAAAACTATTCACAGGTAAATAATCTGCTAAAATCTATCAAAAATTCAGGTTATTGTGTTTTTATTGTGGACTCATTGTACAGTTTATCAGTTGTTCTCTTCTGTTATTGTTATACATTTTCTATATATTTTTATATATATATATATATTTTTATACAGTTTACTCAATGATAGAAAAGGGCTCCCTTAAGAAAAGAGCTACCACTGGTCTGGACAACAGAATCACTGGTTTTCTCTAGGAAACAGGAAAACTATTACAATTATTAAGTCTATATAATAAAGTGCTTGTTGTATCATTTACTAACTCAAAAGACATTTATTTAGTACTCCAATAGGATTAGTTTGAGTGCCGAGCCGCAGAAAAGAGCATGTTTAAAATCAAATGGTTCATCCTCAGGGGAGCATAACCAGCAGGGGGCATGACTTTTTGCAAATCCCCAGACCAGTTCAAAAGATTAGTCTGTGCTATACAGACAATACACAGATGATTTTATTGTCACGCAAGCTTCATCATTTTATGTTAAAGGATGTCACAAATATTGCCTTTGTACGCCTTTCATTTCATATTGCGTTTCTGTGTTTTGCAGCAGACAGATGATGCTGCCCAGACGGACAGTCAGCCACCAACACAGACTGTACCTGAAAGCACAGACAGCAAGGCCCAGCCCAAGAGACTTCATGTCTCCAACATCCCCTTCAGGTTCAGAGACCCAGACCTCAGGCAAATGTTTGGCGTAAGTAAAATACCTGGCTATTTCTAAAATTTTAGAAATCCCAGGTAGATTATTTTAATACGACAGTTGCGTTAACAAAATAAAAATTGTATTGAACTGATGACAAAGAACATTTAAAGAGAAAATCCATCACTCAGCATTTGTTTTTTGTTTCTTTGCAGCAATTTGGCAAAATCTTAGATGTGGAAATCATCTTCAACGAGCGCGGTTCGAAGGTACATGATGTTTCTGTTTTTTCTAAGTGTGTCTCTTAAATGGTTTTATTTTACTTTTGTAGTAGTAGAAGTGTTTCAGACTCTCCTGCTCCAGAAGTGTCAAATCAACACATAAGATTACATTTGGGGAACAGATTTAGTCTACTTATTTGTGTTTGATCCGTGACCTTCCTGTACCGAACATACAGAAATGAAATTGATATTATATATTATACATGATATTCATTACACTTTTGGTAGTGTCCCTTCATTATTGTATCCTCAAAACGCAATAGGCCTATTTTAATACAGTTTTTGCAAAGTTTGAAGTCTGAAGGCAATGCACTTGGGAGTTCACAAGAGCAAAGTTAGGCTCAGGTGATTGGTTTTACCTCAAATATACATTGCAGTAATGATAACAGCTGCACAGTTATGTTTAAATTCAAGTGATTATTGTACACCATACATCTCTAGAGCAGTAGTTTCCAACCTTTTTCTATCATTGAGTATACTAAGTGAAATATTTTATGGATATTTCATATTATTGTCAATGCATAACAACAACAGTACAGACCAAACAGTGAACACAATAACTGCAGGAAGTTTGTGCACAACAAGCAATTTGGATGAATTTTAGGCAAATCATTTCCAAAATATTGATCAGAGATGGGTTTTCCTGATATTTTTAGGAACTTGTTATCCCGTTCTGTTTGAATTATATATTGTTTCATACATATGTGCCCATATCCTATTTAGATCTTAAATAATAATGCAAACGAAAGAAATAAAATAAATTAGTTTTCTTCATAGAAATGACCTATAAAAATCAAGAAGGCCTTGTGATCTCCTGTGAAGCTTTGGCAACCCCTAGTGGGACTCTGGACTCCTAGATTGGAAACAAGTGATTTAGAATGCCAGCTCCAGAGATAATCAACTTGCCTGCAAGCCCTCACCTTTCTAAAAACATTGTTGCAGCATTGTTGCATTGTTGCAGTAGGTATCATTTTGAGAAACGGGCTGCATATTTGAAATCCAAATGGTTTCTGTCTTACCTAAAAACAATCCCAAATTAAATCTGGGGGCACAAAAACATTTGCTGAACAACAATTATAACACTTGTGTATTTACAGTAGATGTCCTCCAGCATGTGCAAGTCAGGTTTTAAAGCATCCTCGATTAACTGGCTAAAGCAAGAACACTTTGGGGCATTTGTAGTTGGGCCACAACTGATGAGTTTCAAACGTTTATGAGAATATAAGTTCCCCTAACCCTAACCCTTATTGAGAAAGGTCTGATATTGTAATCTGACAAAACAAAATGCTAAACTACATAGATAGATATGTGCAGTCAATAATATAGTCACTGATACATAAATATAGTTTCTTTTAAAGTCCTTCAGCTCCTGCAGTTTTTAGAATAAGATTATTTTTGTTGCTTTGCTTCCCGTTATTACTGTAGTATTTTTTCTGACTGCTGATGAAATGCTATAAAGAAATTAATTTTCCCTTCATTCTTTTGGTGGATTTAATTTCACCTATTATAAACGTCACCAAAGGAATCTATTTCCCGTACTATTTTGCAATATGGGGACATTGCAGTAAATGATTCATTGTATGCAATTGTCATAACCCCTGATATAAAAACAGGCATTTATTATTGAGGCATGGTATTAACGCCCAAGGCTTGAATTTACTGGGACAGTGTAGGTAATGAATGGGAGAAAACAAAAGAAGTTGACACAGTTGTGAATAAAGCGTCTTACAAACTGTACTGAAATAGTTTCATTGTTCACATTGACTTAAAAATATTGACTTTGTTTTCTTTTCTTACTTTAGATAATTAATGTTCTATATAAATTCAAATGACCATTAACTAAACCCCTACCCCAAACAGCAATTGTCCAGTCACTGCTTAGCAACTGTACCAACGGACAGCAGGCCTACGAAGCTTCATATTTCTGAACAAGACAAAGTGGTATACATGGGTCTTTACGACCTGCAGTTGATTCTTTGCATTACTTCCAAGGCCTCTGTTTTAATAAATCAATGCTATTGGTCACTCTTTACTTCTGTCCATGTTTTTTTTTTTTTTTTTTACGAATATTCAACTAATTAAAAGTATTAACCATCTTTACCAACTTTGACAACGCAGTGTTCAATCATTGTAAAATCACAGGGGTTTTGTCCTTACCTGAAAAGTAAGGGCTTTGGACATAGTCCGCGTGACAGCAGCGCTATATTATTTTGTGTTCCAGGTCATGTGAGTAAAGCTCCCAGTGGAACATACACTGCATGGGAACTGGTCCTGGATGCTATATCACAGTACAGGCTAACTTTAGCATCTCTGTCCTGCTGCTGAAAATGTACACACCCAAGTATTCCAGCCAAACTCGATGTTGTGCCTGAAAGATGCAGCTTTGGCTTCAGTCTTTTAGCTTGCAATCAAGCTGCACATTTAAGACAAATAAGCAGGGTTCCCATTTCAAAAGGAATCAGCCAACGACAGAGATTTCAACCAACAAAGCAAAGCAAAGCAAAGTTAAATTTCAGCCAGCAAAATCAACGTTCACTTAGCATGAGAAGCCTGCTTTTGCCTATTTCTGTCCTCAATCTGCAGGAACCCGGTGTAGTAGAAACAGAATTATGAAAAATAAATAATAATAATAAGTTGCCCTAAACCCCTCTAGCAAATTCAATTTTTGGACCTCTGTATTTCTAAACCCCTACGTCCAGCAATGCTCGTGAGGTACTTACATTTCTGTAACTGCGTGTAAACACGCAAAGGAAGCAGCATTGTTATTGTTGTTAAAAAAAAGACAAAAAATGTATCAGGGTTATGGTTATGTTGTGTTTAGGGTTAGGGTTGTGCTGAATTAGGGTACTGGCACCAATTAAGGCACTGCCTAAGGGAGCAGGGCTTTGCAAAGGGTCAGTTTCCTCTGATCAATTAATTTTCTTTTTTTACAGACCTGTGTAATATTATTGGATATTGGTTAATATGGAATACTCAAGCATAATATTGTGTTATCTACTATTCTCTTTTTGATGCAAGTTGTTCACTGTAATGTTGAGTGTAATATGTCAGAAATAATTTGCATGTTGTTCTTGCCTCTTTCCGTCCTGCATGCAGGGTTTTGGGTTCGTAACGTTCGAGCATAGCGTGGACGCCGACAGGGCCAGAGAGAAATTACATGGCACCGTGGTAGAAGGCCGTAAAATAGAGGTGCATGTTCTCAAATATTTCTTTCGACTTGTTCCTTCTTCCTGTCCTCCTTTTCCTCTCTGTGGGTATGTTTGTGTATTTATGTGTGCGTTTGTGTGTGCGAGTGTGACAGTCTACCGCCACATCCCACCTTGCCATCTTCCTCATGACATCACACTGTCAAGTCATCCAAGCCTCATCATTTCCCTTTCCTTGTGCAGTTTTATTAACCAAATAAATGTCGCCATATAACTAGTCCAACATTATTGTATGTGAGAGACTTTTCTGGTTTTATTATTTCTTAGTTTACTTTTTTTCCCCCTTTTTTCTTTTTTACTTGATTTTGACTGTTAAGGAAATGTACCTTACCAAAAGTTTAAAAGTGGAAATCATTTTTCACATTCTCCTGTGTTAGAGAAGGTGCATATATTATTTTGGAGTTTGGCCATGAATGTTTGAAAGAAAAGATGTTCTTATATATGTTTAATGAAGAAGGGAGCTTTTCCTCCAATAAATCCTAAAAACCTTACCCATCCACAGACAGAGGAAGTACTTAGGGATTTGTTGACACCTGGAGAGCGAAATGCAAGGTTCACAACTAACATGATTCAGTAGAATGACAAAACCTAAGTGATATTTCAATGTCTTCACTCAGAGGAACCACCAGTCTTCAAGCATAACTCTGTCCATTTTTGACCCTGTATCAGCATTTTAATATTTTAATAGATTTGAATGCCTTAAATCATGATTGCTGTCGATAGATTTTTCCACCAAACATCCAACAGCATCTATATCATCCACATTCCCACCGTGGACCATATTGTCGAGTCTACACAGTCCATACTAAAATCTGGACCATGTGAAATCTACTACATGGGCTGCACTTTGGAAGGGACTGTGGCATGGGTTGGGCAGAACTGGCACTGGCTTAATAATCACAGGTTAAGGCTTTAAAGAGCCTTTGGATCACTTTGGATTTTGCTCCCATGTATCACACTGCAGTTGCAGTCTTCCATTGCCAATCCTTCATACTATACAATGTTTCCTGCCTATTCCCATGGAGAAATGGGGCCCATTTGAGTTGGCCAGTTGGACCCCACCTAACACCCAGTGTAATCCTGCATAAAGCCCATGAGGGCAATTGACATGGGGCCATCATGGAGCCCAGAGACAATCCGATATAGCCCATTTTACAGCCCATGTAATACCCACATACAAATGTTGGCTGGGTTATACCTACATCTAAAAATAATTCATTCATATGATTAGACACCTGACAAAGGCTATAATACCCTGGCACCACAGCAAGCTTCCTTCATCAATAGATCCATCCTTCCATTTTCAATCGCTTATTCTATTTCTGAGGGATTTCCATGCCTGATGGGATATGTAATCCCTCCAGTGTTTTCTGGGTCTTCCCTGTAGTCTCCTCCCAGCTGGACCTCCCCTGAATACCTCCACAGGAATGAAGAATGGCCAGGATCCACCTCAACTAGTTCAGTTTGAGGCAAGGAGAGGACGTTTCTCTTGAACTCCCTGCAGAGTTCCTCACTTCATGTCTAAGGGTCTGCCCAGCCACCCTGCAACGATGGTCAGCTTTTATTATATTCTAGGCATAGATTTAGTGATAAATAGACAGTTTTAATGGATTGATGATATATTTCCTCAAAAAGCATGACATACTTGAACTCCTTCACTTCATGCAGTGACTAAAGTCATTTTTATCTTGCTAACAAATATCAGTAAAATTCCTACCAGACTGTCTTGCACTGTACATCTGTCCCCATGGTGACAAATTTGCCCGTTCAGTCATTTATAACAAATTGCTTTAGTACATTCTTTCTTTTTGTTTCTTCTATTCCCAAAAATCACTGCAAAGATCTCATCAATTCAATTCAATTCAGTTTTATTTGTATAGCGCCAATTCATAACAGGAGTTATCTCAGGACACTTTTCAAATAGAGCAGGTCTAGACCGAACTCCTTATAGCATTATCATCACCATCCAGCCAAAGCAGTTTGTCAGTTGTTTTTTCAGTTGACCAAATGTCTCCTTTTTTTCCTACACAAAGACAACAAATGTTTTACGTAAACATGTAGATTATGTATTAAAGCCCTTCATCATTCACTTCTGTGTTGCATACCATCCAAGTGCAGACAAACTAAAGCTCAATTCAGCTCAAGAGGATTCACTTTCACAACCCCCTCCCCTCAGTACATCCAGACCCACTGAAGAGCCAAAAGCCAAACTGGGCAATTATATCTCTAGCAAGCTTGACACTTAAAAAAGTACAGGCTTCTGCTTCAACCGTATTCTGTAGCAGGAAGCTTCCACAAGAGCATACTGGATTCTAAGGTTTAGTCCAAGGCCTGGTAGCTTATCTTTTCATGTCAAGCTTTTCTTGCCTTCCTACCTGTGGCGACACCAACGGCACACTTTCATGCCTCTCTACACATTAAGATCTCCCAATCACCCCATACTCCCATTACATTCTCACACAGGAAACTGCAATTCCCTTTCTACATAATAGTTGTAGTTATAGGAAAAATTTGAACTTTTCAGATACCACATCCATGACTTTAAAGATTTATCAGAGCTTAAAACACTGAAAAACGCTTTATAATACTACTACTGAGAGACAGGATTTTGCAACTCTGGAAACTTACAACAGCAGCAACTATTTTATCTTTCATTACCACAAACGCAAGTTGCACAGTACAAATACTACTTTTTTGTTACAGAGTAATCTACCAGAAATGTATTTGATTGGCCACAACAGCAACTTACAGGATCGCATTACAGTCCTGCAAAACATGAGCCAGGTTGAACCTTTTTTTCCTGACAACTCTGCAACTTTTGCCAGAGCCCTCTGCAATGGCACCACTGCAAGTTTTTTACTGCAGGGCTGAAAGTTGGTCTAAACACACTTTGACCAGCAACCTATCGTGTTTGTTGACAGCTCTGCCTACATGAGAGTTAGATGTCATCCAAATAATGCATCCAGGTAGACAAACTATCAGGCCAAGGTATTCCCTCAAAACCCCATTGCAAGATCTTCTCTTTGAAATTCCCTCTGGATTGTTTTTGCTGACATATTAATAATCTCAGATACAAAACCACAAAACCCACGTGAATTCTGATCTGTTTTATGTAACAGACTCAGTGGCCTTACATTCACAATTACAAAAATGTCCTTCTAGATCTATTAAGTTTGATCATCTTATTTGATGTAACGTGGCTTTGTGGAGTTTTGGAGTCTTGACTTCTTTGGCTCTCTCAAAGCTGAAAACGTCAACTCCTCTCAGTCACCATCCACCTGCTCAGCTCTCTGCAATGCACTACAGAACTTTTACGGTACCGTCACACATATGTGAATGCAGGCGAGTGACCATCGCCTGCCAAGGCGAAATGTGGGCAGTGCAGGATTTGCCGGTTTGTAGTTTGTTTAAGGGGTCAACCACACACGTGTATTTACTATTGGTGGGAGTCAACACAAAGCTGAAATACAAATCTGCTTTGCTACTGGAAGCAAAGTTTTTGTTTTTGCCTTCGCTTGCATAGAACGGAACAAGTGGCCAATATTTGCCAATGTTGATTTCACATATGTGTGACTGTGCCCTCATCCTTGTATTTTATCTTAACTAGTTTACACTTTCATACTGTCAACTACAGGGTTTTACACTAATTCATGTAGCAAAGTAGTAATGTAGTGAAGTAGAGTGCCACAACAATTCTTTGGCAAAGAAGTGCTCTACCAATGGCCCAGGTGACACCAACAATGTATATATATATGAGATAAATATGGTTTTAGATTAAATTCATTTACATATTTTTGTGTTGGATCAATGAAAAAGCATTCTCTGGTTGCTTTGAGACACTGTTAGGGTGGTTCTTTAGGACTCTATTTGAAAGCTGAGTCAATATGCCATTATTTCTCTTGTGAAGCAAACTAGATTAGTTTTTGGTCCACATCAGTCAGTATGATGGATAAAGACAGCTTGTTTGGACAAAATGGTCGGAGTTATGCTTTAAGAAACCAGATAGCTGCTCATATAGAGAGTGCTGAAAGAGAGGGTTTGTGCAGTGGAATGATTGCAAAGTTTTCTTGGCCACCTGAGTAAGATGCTGCTTATTCCTTTCTCATCCCCTCCTCCCCCACCATCCTTCCAACGGTAGCTTGTTTAGGGCCCCATCCAACACAGTTACAACGGTAACAGTACACAAACAAGTGGGCGGGGCCTAAAGGTTTGGGAATGGTAAGTGTGGGCGAGCAAGCCATTCTGCCAGCATTTCCTCTCTCTCTTCCTCTCTCTTTGGAACGTTTGCAACGCTAAAACTCACGTGACATTTCTTTTTGAATTGTGGTTGAGTTGATGCTGTATATTGACATACATATTTTCTTGCGTGTCGGCGTGCGTGTCCATTCACTAAGTGTTCTCCTGGAGCTGCGTGTGCGAGCAATACTGACTGAGATATGAATTCGTTTGCACATCTATCTGAGATTGTTGGAAACCCATTTATTGATTTATTTTATTTTACTTTGGAAGAAAATGCACCCTTTTTTAATTTACCCTGTTAGCTGTTGTTTGAATTTGGAATGATTTGATTGGTTGATTGACTGACTTGGTTGGTTTCTTTGAGTACATCTATTTTATTTGATCTTAATAATTATTCTTGCAATGAATCCGAGAGGCTGTTGTCTGAGTGTGAATGCTTTGTGTTGCTTTCGTCACAACAGTTCTTCTCACGTTTTAAGGTTGACTTGATGTTGCATAATGCTCCCAACATATTCTCTTCTACCCTTCCCCCAATGACATTTTCTTTGTGTTTTTTTTTCCTCCTCCTCCCACCGCATGCATCTATACATTTACAAAACATAATTTTGCCAAGTGCATCTGTTGTTTCTTTACTTTTGTCTGTATGTTATTGAAATGTCACTATAATTGGGGAGAGCATGCTGGAAAACGTCAGATAGAAAATATGCAAATGAGAAAGAAATCTGATTTGTTTTGGATGTTTTTAAGTGTTTCTGAATGCAATTTCGAAAACACACAAATGACATGGGTGTTTGCCATAATACAGTGTACTGCTTTCTTTGTTTATTACATTAGAAAACAATGCATGCAGATTTACACTAAAAAATATAGCATTTACATATAAGTGTCATGACTCATGGAATTCTCTTTATCTGCTGTAGGTCAACAATGCAACAGCCCGAGTAATGACAAATAAGAAGACTGTCAACCCATATGCAAATGGTGAGGCCAATGTAATTTTTCTTGTTTTGTTGTTTTGCAAGATTGAATCAATCAGCCCAGATTTAATGCAGCTGACCCTTCAATATCAGTGAAAACCGATCTCTAGAAATGTATCTAAATTAATTACAAATCTAAATCACAAAATACGTTTGCATAAGGATTCACTCCCTTTAATAACACATACGGAAAATCGTTGGTGCAGTCAATGGATTTTAGAAGTCACATAATTAGTGAAATGGAGATCATCTGTATGTAGTGTAGTTTGTTCATTATGGTATAACCAGACCTGTATCTGAATACAGCTGTACCTGGAGGGCAAAACATTAAGTAAATTTTTATGGTGAAAAAAAACACCATAAAAACAGAGGAACATTCAACCAAACCAACCAAAAAGGTGATTGAAAGCTTGAAGTCAGGGCATGGATACAAGAAGATGTCCAAGTGACTCTTAAATCAATTAAATAAATCATTAATGTAAAGAGAAACAAAAATCTGCCAACAACAAGCCATCCCCAAAAACTGAGCGATGGAGCAATAAGGAGACCGAGTCAGAATACCGAGGCCCAAACTCATTAAATACTGACACTCGCATTATTCTGGACACGCAGGGCTCCTCGATCGCACTTGTAGGAAGTGAGACACAGAAATGCCATAAAGAAGCCGATCAATTTTCAAAATAAAATCCTGCGTGCAGACTCCGGATCGAATTTCATGCTACATAAACATTGTGGCACCAGACAGGAACGTCAGTAGATTGAAAGAAATTTTAGGCGGAGAAACACACTGTTTTGTATCCTTTTTAAGGACAAAATACACAACTAATGTTACTAAACGTATGGCAGGCAACATGCTCCACCTCTGAAATTCTCTCAATGGTCAAGTCGTGCCTGGTGGAATTCTGGTGTTAGTCTTGTTGTAACTTAACTCATAATTGGGACTAAAAGTCAGGATGTTACATCCTTTGCGAAATTGATTTTTTAACGTCCCCCAACTGTTTGGAAGTGTATTAGTAAATCACTGCAGTACCACTTTAACCAAATGCTTTTAGTTGCCTAGACTAGAGGCAGCTGTCACACGCGTGAGACGCCACATGCTGCTGAGGCGGCCTATGTGAATAGGGTGTTACAGATATGTTCGATATAAACATTTTATGTTGCCATTAACAATTTCACAGATATGTTCCATTTAACTGTTTTGTTGTTGTGTCTTTAAAATGTAATCTAGGCAAACAAATTAGCAATTGAAAATTAGCTGAATGTTAATTTGTGTCAGACAATATAAAATGTCTTGGTAAACAACATTTTAAGGAGGTATAAACTCAAAGCTAAAAAGGTTCATTCTTTTGGTAAAAAATTCATGTGACCTTTGTTCTAAATATCTGAAAACATTCCTAGGGAGATGGAAGTTTATTCAGAACATACAGGGCGTGTGAACTAACGCAATAAAACACTGTTCCTGTCTGTGTCTTTCTCCTGCTGTCAATCTTGTTTCAGGCTGGAAGTTAAATCCAGTGGTCAGCGCTGTCTACAGCCCAGAATTCTATGCAGGTAGGAGGACATGCCCTTCTCCATCTGTCACCATCTCCTTTGTCATTATCTTCCTCCTCCTCATTCGTTTTGTTCTTTAGTTTCTTCGACATCTTCATTTTCTCTTTCTCCTCACTCCCCCCTCCTTCAATGTAACCTTCCTCACCTCTCCCTGTCCCTCTTTCTTCCAAGCAACATGCAACCAGGCAAAGTCTGTTTATAGCCCGAGAACTATGCTGAGTCGCACAAATGGGACAACAGACTGTCATTTCTGCTGCAAAACAAACGTTCCGCCACCCACAAGCCTTCTTCAATCTTGGCCATCCCGGTATTCACCTCTCCCAACCCTTTGGGGCCCCCACCCTGTCATTATCCATGGCCATTAAGGTGAAAAATACTTGGATTTAGTGATAAGAGACAGATAAAAGAGTGTTGCAGGGGATAGGTGGAGTGAATGAAAGCAAAGGACAAGAGAGAAGGAAATCTAATTGTCCATTTCTGCAAGGACATTAAAAGGTATGAAATATATTTTGTAAATTAAAATCAATATTTTCAATTTCTCCAGACAGACGTTTGCCTAATTCACCCCCACGTTCTTTTAATTACAAAATGGCTTTGTATTGATTTACTTTTGTTTCACCTTTCAAGTACCCAAAATGCCATTGGGTATTTGTGTGTAAGTGTTTTACGTGTACATATGCAAGGAGTGTACAAGCTTTTCAGGTCTGTTTTGAATTAGCAATTTGGCCTATTATGTTATTAATAGGTTAGGACTGCAGCCATTCAGGATAGAGGTTGGGACCTGTTCTCATGGTTAATTAGTTCAGATGTTTAGATAGCAGTGCAGATTAAGATTCACAAGGCAGAGTTGAAGATTCACCAAATTAGCAGATTTCTTTGTCTGTACTTCCTCTTTGTCTGTAAAATCTGTAAAAAAATATCATATAGCCAGATTTAGTTTGCTTGCTTTTATAAACTGTATTTCTCAAAATGTTGTTCTTCTCTGGTTGTAGAAATGCAAAAGCATTCTAGAGGAATGGGTCTTGAGATAGTGTCCACGCTTAGTGATAATACCACCAATTCTCAAACCAGTCTCCTAGAAACGATTTTTATACTACTACATGGTTTTGCCTGTTGATTATTGGTAGTATACAGTGCACAATCAATACCAATATCAGTATTATTTTCTAGTAATTAATTTTCTGGTCAAAGTTTGGGAACTATTGGTCTGTTTGAAGAAATTAATTTGGGCTCTGACAGGATATAAATAGAGTTGTTCCAATTCTGCCTAAAATGTGTTATCGGATATTTGCAAGTACTCATGTCTGTGTACCAATCCGATACCACATAATTTATTAGCCCCAAAACCAGACCCTGCTACTAGTGTTTGTTTGCTATTTTTTCCCCAGACATCATTTGCACAACAAGAGGAGATTGCCTCTCAGGAAATATAAACAGGTCATCTTGAACGTCTCAGTATCTTTCGGACAGTAGTTTTTATAGCTGTTCTGAAGAGTCAAACTTGTGAGGGCAAGTGGTGAATAGTGCAAATGTGGCGCACAACGGTATTCATGTTATTCAATTAAATTCAATTCAATTTTATTTGTATGGCGCCAATTCTTAACAGAAGTTATCTCAGGACACTTTTCAAATAGAGCAGGTCTAGACCGACCCAACAGTACCACCATGAGCAAGCACTTGGCAACGGGGGCAAGGAAAAACTGCCTTTTAAGAGGCAGAAACCTAGGACAGACCCTTCGGCTCTAGGTAGGCCTCGTTATAGCATTCTATGTGACAAAAGAAAAACATAGTTGTGTGAAGGACGATAAAATAGAGATTAAAGGTGGGTTCAGCATTTTAACAAACACTAAATACTGTAATTGTTATGAGATAACGGTTTAGGTTAGAAAGAAAACTATTTGCTGACAGTATGAAGCCTTATGGTTTGACTTGCCCTGATGGACTTGAGACTTGACTTGGGATTTGTGAAAACAGACATGATACATGACTTGAACTTGCCCCTCAGCTGTGGCATTAACCCAAACATGTTATTTCTGTATTTTTTTATAATAATAGAGCAGGTCTAGACCGAACTCCTTATAACATTATTTACAGAGACCCAACAGTTCCCACCATGAGCAAGTACTTGGCAAAAGCAGAAACCTAGGACAGACCCCTCAGCTCTAGGTTGGTGGTCGTCTGCCTCGACCAGTTGGGGTGTGAGAGAGAGAGAGAGAGAGAGAGAGAGAGAGAGAGTGTTGCGGTGAGAGAGACAGACAGACAGACAGGTGCACAGCAACAACAGCAGCAACAACTACACTAATAGAAGTGACTGATGATGATGAACATGAAGAAGATGATGACGACAGCAACGACAGGGGACAATGAGCAGTGATTATAGTAATAATAGTAACTGTAGTAATAATAATAGTAATAATAATAATAATAACACTAATGTCAGTGATATTAGCAATGCCAGCCACCATGGCACCATGGCAGCAGGCTCCACCAGGATCCATGAGAACCTGCGAGATGAGAAAGCACAAGAACTCTGGGGAAGAAGTGAAGTTAGTAACATGCATTAATGGGACATGAATGAGTGCAGAAAGAGAGGGAGAGGAAGAGAGGAGTTCAGTGCATCATGGGAAATCCCCATAGTCTAGGCCTATAGCAGCTTTTTGAGACTATAGGAACCACAAGTAGCCCTGCTTTCAGAGAACGCAGTGTTCTAGAGGGGTAATAGGGTACTATGAGCTCTTTAAGATATGAAGGGGCCTGACCATGAAGAGCTTTGTTGGTGAGGAGGAAGATTTTAAATTATTTTCTAAATTTTACAGGGAGCCAGTGTAGAGACGCTAATACAGGAGAGATATAATCTCTTTTCCTAGTTCCTGTCAGTACTTGTGCTTCAGCGTTCTGAATTAATTGGAGCGTCTTTATGGACTTATTGGGGCAACCTGATAATAAGGAATTGCAGTAATTCAGCCTTGAAGTAACAAATGCATGGATTACTTTTTCTGCATCCATCTGTGACAGGATGTGTCTCATTTTTGTAATATTACGTAGATGAAAAAAGGTAGTCCTAGAGGTTTGATTTATGTGGGAATTAAATGACATGTCCTGATCAAAGATAACTCCAAGATTCCTGACAGTGGTGCTAGAGGCCAAGGTAATACCATCTAGAGTAACTATATCTTTAGACAGTGAGTCTCTCAGATTTTTGGGGCCAAGTACAAGACTTTAGTTTTTTTCTGAGTTTAACATCAGAAAATTGCAGCTCATCCAGGTTTTTATGTCCATAAGACATGTTTGTAATTTAGATAATTGATTAATTTCATTGGGCTTGATTAATAGATATAACTGTGTATCATCTGCATAACAGTGAAAGTTAATGGAGTGTTTCCTAATAATGTTGCCTAAGGGAAGCATATATAAAGTGAATAGAATTGGTCCAACTACAGAACCTTGTGGAACTCCATGACTAACTGCAGTATTTATGGAAGATTCATTGTTAACGTGAACAAACTGAGAATGATCTGATAAGTACGACTTAGGGCGATTCCTTTAATGCCAATTCGATGCTCAAGTCTCTGTAAATGAATACTATGGTCAATGGTGTCAAATGCGGCACTAAGATCTAATAATACAAGTACAGAGACAAGTCCATTGTCGGAAGCAATCAAGGTCATTACACACTGGCCTGCAGCTCTTTTATACATCCATGACTCAGACAAAGAGCAGAGGAAAGAGACAGCAATGTAACCTGGTCGCTATGTTTTCATAGAGCAGTACTTCTCAAATAGTGGGGCGAGCCCCCCTGGGGGGGCGCAGTGAGATGTCAGGGGGGGCGCGACAGGCAGGGGGGACTGACGGAGGAGGAGAGATGGAGAAGTTTCTGACAGGAGTAAAAAGAAAAACAAGGAGGCTTCAGAGGCAACAACAGCAAGTGACGGTAACCGGCATAAACTTAATAAGACCAGGAAATACGACAAAGCCTACATAGCCTTTGGGTTTACCGTGAATACGGTCGGAAATGAGGAAAGACCTGTGTGTTTTATGTTTAAAAACTCTGGCAGTGGACAGCATGAAACCAAACAAATTAAGATGGCACCTGGAGACCTTACACCCCAGTTATGTCAATAAGCCACTGGACTTTTTTCATCGGATACTCGATGAGTATCGCCAACAGGCCAGTCATTTAGTGAGCGCAGCATCAGTATATAAAAACGCACCGTTATCCTCGTACAAACACCGCCACATCGCAAGGTGCAAAAAACCATCACACAATAGCAGAGGAGCTAATACTCCGGCAGCATTGGACATGGTCACAATCATAGGTGAGAAAAGAGACACTGAATACTGTCCCTCTGTCTAATGACATGATCGGGAGACGTATATTTGACATTTCAGACGACCTCCAAGAACAAGTCACAGAACATCTAACAGACAAATGTTAAATATAAGTAATATTGTTGCAAATTTTACAAAAAAAAAAACAAATGTTATAAAGTCATATACCTTTTTGAAAAGGAATAAGCTGATGAAGCTGACAAGTGACCAATGTTTACATTTAAAAAAGGTTTTGAATGTTACTGTGTTAAGTCTATAAAAATGCACATCCCAGTGAATCATTTGCACTTTCTCTGTTTAGAGAATCACACAGACTGAGCAGTCTTGTTTAAATGTTACAAATTGAGTTAATAAACTGAACTTGGAAATTGTTGTTGCAGTTGTTGCAGATGTTATCTCAGCTCATTTTATTAATCTATTTTGATAATCAGGTGATTGTATGCAGAATGCTGGTGCTAGCAACTCATACAGTGGTTTGTACAGATAAATAAATATTATCAGTTTCTCAATAGTATTAAAATTCAGGGGGGCGTGAAAAAATTTCTGTCCTCTAGGGGGGGCATGACAGAAAATAATTGAAAACCACTGTCATAGAGTAATAACCGCACACCCTGGGAGTTGCCCAAAGGCTGACCCCCAGAGACAGCTAAATAATAAGAATACAGGGGGGCTGCAGGGTCTCTTTTTTATGAATCTATACATTGTTTTTTTTTTTTTAACATTTTTTTTTTTTAAATACTTACAGTCTTAAGTCCTAACACATCCTAAATTGTTCTCTATCTATAAAGTCTTAGCACTCCTTTTCATTTAAGCTGTATCAAGAGCAGAGTGAAGTAGTGTTGGAAAGAGTCATCAGTGTGACTTTAAGGGTAGCCAGGCCACTTGGTCCTAAAATCAAGGTGACAAAAGATGAATAGGAACAATTATTAACCTCACTTCACTCCTTGTCTCTCTTTGAGAAACTCTTATCCTTTGGCTCAAACCTTCCATTTTTCACCAGGTCAATGAATGATTCACTGTTTCTATTACCATTTTATTAGATCTCCTTTTTGAAGAGATGTATAATTAGGGTTGGAAATGGCACCTCGATCTCCCTCTCAACCTTCACTCACCCCAGCTCTCAAATTAAGCTTTGTGTCAGTCGTCCCCCATTAAGATTAATGATAAGTTAATAACAATACCACTGCAATAGCTTCACTCCACTGCCATTTCTCTCTCTCTCTCTCTCTCTCTCTCTCTCTCTCTCTCTCTCATTATTCTTTCTTTCTCCTCACATTTTTTTTCCACAACTGGACTACTTTACACATTCTCTCCAGGATTCAAACGCTAATGTCAACTACAGGTGTACAGCTCTTTGTGCTATATCACGCATTGAATGCAAGTGGAAATTGTGCATTCTTTTCAGAGAAACTGTAACATAGTTTTCTGTTCTCTGTCTCCAGTACCAGGTTTTCCCTATCCAGCAGCCAGTGCAGCAGCGGCGTACAGAGGAGCCCACCTACGAGGTCGAGGACGGACCGTTTACAACACATTCAGGGCGGCTGCTCCGCCTCCCCACATTCCAGCTTACGGAGGGTAAGCCTCCTTTCTTGCTCTTGTCCTGTTGTCATTTCTCCCTCTTTGGTCTCTCCCTCTCTCTTTCCCTTATCTAATGGCAAGTCCTAAATCTCTGTGCTCAGAGTCAGTGGAGCAGTGCATGCCAGCCTCACCTCACAGCGATAACACACTTCCACAGCATGCCGAATCAACCAACGGGCATGCTCCAAGACATGTGCCTTTGCACGGACTCATGGGAAATGATTGTCAATTTGGCCTTGCACTGTGATGTCATTGAGCGAGGCTGTGTACATGGTGGAATGGGAGGTCCTCCACTTTAACTTAAACTGAGTTGCCGAAATAAGAATGAAGAAAGAAAACAAAAACAAAAAACATCTTCCCAGCCCCGGCTACAGCTCTGGTTGGTCTTCCATGGCTGAAGGATCTGGAGGCAAGCCAAACAGAGCTGTGCATTGTGGGCAGTCAGATCTGATTTGCTATCATTCTGTTGGTTCTTTTTTTTTATTTATTTTGCTCTTTATGACTGCAAGCAAATGGACACTAAGGAGGCTGGCTGGGAGTCTATTTAAGGATTTAGGACTTGTTTTTTCTCCTGCTGACACTAGGTTTCCATCCAAATGTAGTGCAAATTTTCATCTAAATTCGTTATGAGATTTAATCTACTACTATTATGCAAATATTAGGAGTTGAGTGGATTAAAATAAACAGTTGGTGGTGCAAATTCTCCAGTCTTGGCTCAATAGCAGAAGAAGAAAGCGTAATAAGATGACATAATAAAAAGAGAGCCAGTCAAAGCTTAAATTATGGAAAACCAGTGCCTGAAATGGGCCAGTACTCACCAGTAAAGAGCACTTATGTTGTGAAATAATTGTCCAAATAACTATTTTAATTCTTGCCCCAAAAGTTCAGTTTTCAGACACTGTATGGTATGCTATAATGGTTTGCATAATTGAGCATAATATGCATTTCTACAGCACTATTCATTTCAATTGTCTCCATTTTATCAATTGCTGCAAATTTTTCAAATTAAAAGTTCAATGGGAGGCTTTTTAATGTGAAACATACAGATGTTTGCACTACCTGCACAGGCAGGTAGAGAGTGGTGAGTATAACATGCTGTAAAAATATATTATATTGGACTTCATCAAGGCAACATGGAGGAAGTGTCGACTAAAACAGCATCAACATAAAACTCAAAGGGAAGCAGCTTCTTAGCAGCTTCCTACCATACAATACAATACCAATACAAGCCTGTTTCAAATGAAGGCCTGCTTAGAGGCAACTAGTAGACAATATATGGTAGATTTTTTATCAGTGCATAAAAATGGAGATAACCCAATGCAAAAAACACTCTCCATCCTGTACAGGTTTTTTTTAAGCATGTGTGGGTGTGTTCCTGTTTTCCAAAGGCTTTCTGTTGGAGAAATGAATAGAACCTTACCCACTAAGAACACTGTCACTGTGAGCATCTCTATAGAAGAAAACCCATCACATAGGATGAGGAAGATGGATGTTTGGGTGAACACTAGGGCATGGTATTGACAAAGAGATATGTGCTACAGATTGTACTTTCATTAACGCTGCTGCACCGCTTAATTGCCCCGGTGGCAGTCAGATGGTGAATTATTAATGTGGACCGTGATGTATTTTTATTAAAACTGTCTCGAGTGGCGGCAAGACGACTCAAAATAAATCCAGTGACACGGCAAGGAAACCAAGTTTGCTTTGTGTCTGTGTGTGTGTGTTTTCATAAAATATTCTTTCATGTCTGTAGGGGGACCTTACACAGCAGCCTATAATATCATTAAGCCAATGTGTGCATGTAGCTTTTCTGCAGTCCCATGGAACACATTTAATGAGTCCAACAGCTCTCTGGGACATCTTGACATTTGAGAAGCTATTGATTATCAGAGAAAGCAGAATGGTGTAAAAGCAGTCTATTGGCTGGTGAAATTGGAAGTTTGGTCCTCCGAGGAGCTGTTCATGTTAAAGGGAGCTCCATCATAATGCAGTGTTGACATCCTGCTCGTTTTATTGGAAGCTGGATGAGGAACGCTTTTCTCTCACTCACATGTACAGAAAGAGAGAGGGGGAGGCTCTTAGCACTACTGGTCATACAGTGCTTTCATATCATTAGACAAGAGTAGAGAACCACACAGAGTAGTGACATATGATCAGATGTGTTTGTCCTGCGCTGTTTCAGCAACCTTATCCCCAGCACTCAGTGTTAAGGTGAGGAACCATGTGTTTAAAGATAAACGCCTGGATTTTCCTAAAGTGCTCTCAGATAACTGTTGATGTGTTTTTGTCAGGGGAGACACTACAGGTGAACACTGGTGATAATAGTTTTAACTAATAGATATCACTAAGAAACATTGCCAAACAAACACAATTTCTTGTATTACAATCTCTCTGAAATTCTTTAAATTTTTTTCAAAGAAATTGTTTAAATATGCAAATAAGGCCTTATTTAAGGCTTACCTTTGGTGGATTTTACAGTAGGTGCGAGACACTGTGACTTCTAGGCCTCTCCAAGTCTCCGTTTAACCATTAGACGACCAGGTGCCCTTAAGAGCCTATTTTCGCCGTGCACTTCACCCCATCTGCCATTTGCCATTCTTTTTGTATTTACTTGATGTCATCCTACAGTTGTTGAGTGACATTTGAATGAGTTGGCGGTCATCCCAGTCAGTGGAGAGTCGCTTTTGCCCTCTGCCAGTCTGTAACTTTGTTGTCCCCAATGTCTGCTGCTTGACCTTGTTCTTATGAACCGCCGCCTTTGAAATTTTAAGGATGGAAGCAACCTGACGCTCACTGTATCCCTCTGCCAGTAATGCCAGAACTGAACCCTTCTTTTCCTCACTCAAAACTTTTCTTTTCAACTCTTTTGGCATGGTCAATAGTCAGTTTTTGATTCCAATGAGGATAATGATGACCACAGCAGTGGTTTTTATACTTCTTTTTTTTTTTTTACAGAGCTGTATGTATATATATATATATATATATACACCACTAGTCAAAACACACCTTCTCATTTAATGGTTTTTATTTATTTCCATGACTATTTACATTGTAGATTCTCACTGAAGGCATCAAAACTATGAATGAACACATATGGAATTATGTAGTAAACAAAAAAGTGTGAAATAATTCAAAACATGTTTTGTATTTTAGATTCTTCAAAGTAGCCACCCTTTGCTTTGATTACTGCTTTGCACACTCTTGGCATTCTGTCGATGAGCTTCATGAGGTAGGCACCTGAAATGGTTTTCCAACAGTCTTGAAGGACTTCCCAGAGATGCTGAGCACTTGTTGGCCCTTTTGCCTTCACTCTGCGGTCCATCTCATCCCAAACCATCTCGATTGGGTTTAGGTCAGGTGACTGTGGAGGCCAGATCATCTGGCGCAGCACTCCATCACTCTCCTTCTTGGTCAAATAGCCCTTACACAGCCTGGAGGTGTGTTTGGGGTCATTGTCCTGTTGAAAAATAAATGATGGTCCAACTAAACGCAAACCAGATGGGATGGCATGATGCTGCAGGATGCTGTGGTAGCCATGCTGGTTCAGTGTGCCCTCAATTTTGAATAAATCACAATGTGTCACCAGCAAAGCACCCCCACACCATCACACCTCCTCCTCCATGCTTCAAGGTGGGAACCATGCATGTAGAGACCATCCGTTCACCTTTTCTACGTCGCACAAAGACATGGCGGGGGGAACCAAAGATCTCAAATTTGGACTCATCAGACCAAAGCACAGATTTCCACTGGTCTAATGTCCTAATGTATCTCTTGTGTTTCTTGGCCCAAACAAATCTCTTCTGCTTGTTGCTTTTCCTTAGTAGTGGTTTTTTAGCAGCTATGTGACCACTGGACTGACTGACCTTCAGTTCTTAAAGTATTGATGGACTGTCGTTTCTCTTTACTTAGCTGATTGGTTCTTGCCATAATATGAATTCTAACAGTTGTCAAATAGGGCTGTCAGCTGTGTACCAACCTGAGAAGGCCACGGGTTTGCATCGCTGTCAACAAAGCAAAGGGTGGCTACTTTGAGGAATCTAAAATATGAAACATATTTTTATGTGTTAAAATTATTTCACACTTTTTTCTTTACTACATAATTCCATATGTGTTCATTCATAGTTTTGATGCCTTCTGTGAGATTCTACAATGTAAATAGTCACGAAAATAAAGAAAAACCATTAAATGAGAAGGTGTGTCCAAACTATTGACTGGTAGTCTATATTTCATATATTATCTTTGAGTGGGGGGACATGATTTTGGGGAAGCTGTTCCTCTCTGTATTGGACGTGCCAATTCAGTCCCTCTCCATCATTTGTGGGTGGCCAAGGTTAGAGCTCTAATCTCAGGAAGCATGTTTACAGCTCGCAAAAGACAGATTTAACTACAAAGGGCTTTTTAGAATGATTAAAATTAGAAGGATTGTGAGATTTCTATTTTTTAAACTCCAGCATTCATATCACAGCACCCCACTTCCAACTCCTATTTACTTGGCACTTTATTTTAAAGTCAATCCCGGAGGAACGATGACTCCTTTTTTCCAGTGAGCTGATTGGACGGCGGTCGGGCTGCTGGCAGACAGATCTTCTGAAGCAGGTTAGCCGTGCAGCATAGGTTACCATGGTGATCCAGGGCCGTGGGAAGTAGGGGAAAAGTGAGAAAAGGGTCAAGCTGCAGACACTCTCTGCCAGATACAACATCAAAACATTTAAAACAAAATTCTTCTGTTTTTATTTACCTACAAATTGAAATATTTATATTATACTTATTAATATATTTGTTTACATCATTGTTATTTTGCTGCAGAAAGTTATACATTCAATATATAATTGTATTAGTGCTCATTTCCATTCATATAAAAGAGTTACAAAAATATATTAATTTACATTCATAGATATAAGATAGATGAAATAAAAGATACAAGATTGTATTTTTAGAGTAAACACATTAAACACAAACGGTAAATAAAAATAAAAATGATGCGTATCGTATCGCCAGACCAATATACAGCCCTAGATAGAACATCTCATGTTTACTTTAAACACTACTTATGTACCTATGTGTTTACCTTTTGTGGTGGTGTACACCCAGTTAAAGATGAGCCGGCTTCATGATACCGGAAAACCCAAGTTAAGCCCAAAGATAGCTGACTAACCCACTAATCTTGCTTCATGCTAGACGCCCCAACTGAGCTGCTGACAACAACACATTAACACTGATGTCCTATTACGCTGAATCCTCCTGTCCTCCATAATTCAGCTTAAGTTAAAACTCCCAAAAACAAAAGTTTGAACTGCTTGACATCTGTTTTACATTTTCTGTACTCTCTTATCCTCAAAATACCTTTCTAATCTGCAATATTGCACATTTGATAGCCATGTCCCTGTAGATCTAGAGAAATGTTCATGAGATGTCCAGAGGGTGGCATTGAGACTTGGTGGCAGAAATATTTGCTGATTTAATCACAATCACATTTGTCAATATTTGTTTGGAAAAGCCACCAAATGAAGATATTTTAACTCAAAAACATTATTGAGGCACATTAGTAAAGCACTGAATAGAAATATCTAAAGGTGGCATTAGAAATTAATACATTGTTTTATTTACAAATCTTCAGACATTTTTCCAAATACGTGTTTTTTTTACGTGTCTAAAATATGGCCATAACAGATCATTCAATTAATTCCTTTTTTTTAACATGTCATTTTAAAATTAATCTAAATTAATAATAGATATATGGCATGGGGAATATTTTTTCCCTCCACTGGCTTGCATTGCTAGAAATGTTTGAGCCTCAGTTTAAATTGAATGCTGCTGATTGGACTAGCTGTGTAATATTCATAAACAAGTGTTTTTGGACCTTCCCAGCCTCCTTACCCAGCCATTAGAGTGCAGCGAGGGGTGCCTGCTGTATTTCCCCTTTGCCTCTGCCCCTCTTATGTCTTTTTTGGGTTGTTTTTTGGATTGTGGAGATGGGGGTTGGTTGGTAGCAAACCCAGTGCCTGCACGCAACATGCACTAATATGGATGTTTTTGTTTTATTGTGTTTGTTTGTCTGTTTGTTTGTGTTTGCATCCTCTGCAGTGTTGTTTACCAGGATGGATTTTATGGTGCAGATATTTATGTAAGTATTATTTACTGGTATGACACTGCATGCTACACCGCCATCTCTGTGGTCTCTGCCCTGTGGCTATGCACATGCAAGCATCCGCGACCCTCCATACTCATACACGGCATCACCTTCAGCTTCGGGGGAGGGGCAGATAACTGCTAACATGCTCAGATTATGGCCCCAGCAAAGAGACAATAGAGATACAAACCTCAACAGGCACTGAGAGCAGGCACAAGCTGCACTCTAACCAAGAGGCAAAGAAAACATTTTTTTTTACTGGTGCAAAAACATATACTGCTCTGTGGAGGACCGAACCTGCCAAAATAAAAAATAAATGAATACATGACTCAATTAATTAATATGCCATTAAATGCTTTAATTAATTTATCATACGTGGCATAAATGGATATTTCTGTTTTAATCTGTGTTAATTGACCTTTGTATTAATTCCGCTATTTATTTACTTTCCCATTTCATTTATATTTATTATATATATTTATTTCTGTATTTCCCCCCTTGTTATTTCCCAAAACGTATATATTTATTTCTATGTTTTCTTCTACATTTCTCTTTGCATTTCTGAGTCGTTGGGCAAATGGGGGTCTGTCATTCAAGGTCCATCATGTGGTCAACCTTTTGCCATCGGAGCGCATAGATCAACTTTATGTGCATTGCTTGGTGGCCAGAAGCAGCTAGAAGCAAATAAAACAGAAATATCAATTAAGATTTTATACATATATAACATATTTTAGGTACATTCAAAGCTGCAGCTAACTTTTATATAAATAACTTTTTGTCATAAACTTTCACTATATCCTGACAGTAGAACGTGAGACAGATAATCTGTGAAAAAATCAGTTTTTCTGGCTCCTCCTAGTGCTCCTAGTTGCATTTGCAAGAATTTACCATGTCTGAACAAAAACAACCATTTAGAGCCAAGAAAGATAATTGATTGTTTAGGTCGTCAAATACCGACCCTGAATAAATAATGCTTAAACTATACTCAAACACCTGAGATTTTAAAACTTTTTAAAACTACAAAAAGCCAGTAATGCGTATTAAAGAGAAGCAAAAATAATCTTTTAAATGTATAAAATTTTAGTCAATTAACACAAATCATGTACACTTAACTGCTTTAGGCTGCAAAACATGACTGTGTTTACTCCATCTTCCCTGGTTCTTTATGTAAGTTAATATATAGCTGAGATGAAAAGTTTTAAATTATAATACTTATATGTCAAATGGGAAAAAACTGTGCTTGGGACAAGTTGGGCAGGCATTAATAATTTATAAATCATACTCATACTGGTCCTTCAAGACCAGGTGTCAAAGAATTTAGTTGCAACAGACAAAATTATAGTTTACGAAAAAGTGAGCTTATATTGCTCTAATCAAACTAACAGTGCCTGGTTGAATAAACAACAACAAAAAAACAGAAATCAGCGTGGTTTTAAAAATCAAACAGCATTATTATTAAAACATGCAAAAACACTGGTGTTCAAGCAGTAATAGTTACTGCAATGGTGAACAATAGAACCACAAGCACACACAATGGAGGCTTCAGGAAGATACAGACTAATGATGCACTGTGTGTGTGTTTGTGTGGAGGAGGTGCTTATATAGCTCCCATAACATTCAACCTCCTTGCCTCCCCATTATCCCCCATGCCCCTGCCACAGGGATTGATGCTGCAGTCAGAACATTTAATATTCATTAGCAGTGGGATCAAGGGCCCCTGATGCTGTTTAGGTTTATTGAAAGAGGTGTACTTTAGAAGTGCGCTCAGTCAATTCAAATAGCAGATTAGATAAGACACAAAAAGAGCTTAGCCATAGCAGAGAGGTTCAGGCTATTGGAAAATGTGGATAAAATAAAGGAAATACCATAAATTTGCTAGTCGTGGCCATTATTTCTAATTCCTTTTCCATGGTGGAACACACAACTAAAAAATGCAATGTCCGGTTAGATTTTCAAAATAAAACTTGCGTGGTTAACATTATAAAAGCAGTCGCAGTTTGGTTAGGTTTAGACACAAAAACTACTTCCTTAGGTTTACGGAAAGATCATAAGATATGTTACGTACCTAAAGTGTAACTTGTTGAACATACCTGACATAACAAAGGTATAATAATTGAATGGTTAGGCGTAGGGGTGAGGGTTGGTTGATGAATTCATTTACATACTCTACTTTTGGCTTCACATGGGACACCAGCAGCATTATCCTGGGTTAAAGTCCTCTATTTGAGCCATCCATCCACCCCACCACCTCCATATGTGTACTTTCTTGCTCTTTACACAATGTTACCTGACTTCGATGGCTGGTGCATCCACAAATAATGTTAGAGGAATACCTACAGCATCAAATTTGGAAGCAGAGGGCCACCTACCAAGAGGCAGTATTTGATGACTTGGGAGTAACAACCGGTTGCTATGGTGGATGGCTAAACTACACATGCATGAATGTGCACAATCACTATTAAGCTGCTGTCAGTAAAGCACATCACTTACATGTTTGCAGGAAATGTTCAGATTTGTTGATGGTAGCTTCATAGCAATGAACAAAAATGGTATAAAAAAAGTATAAGGCAGTGGAAAACAAATTGTGAATGAAAATTGCTTGTGTTGCCGTTGTGGTCGGCCAACCTAAGACATCCAGTATTCCCCAATGTGTTTTTACCCAACCATTTTCAGGAAACGGTTTTAATTTGTTCAAGATGGCTACAAGTATCAGCCATTATTTTAAAAAACTATTTTTATTTGTTAAAGTTGGGAATGTTGTCTGTTGCCATTGAGGCATTTACTTTAGTAGTAGTTAGCTGCTTGAAGGCAGTACCACAGCATGAGTGTGGGCCTGCTGCCATGTTGCTGAAAATACTGAAAGTCAGAGAAGATGGATGGACAGACAGACAGGAGAAGCTCGGCTTTTCTTTCCTTCAATGAATCAGCAAATATGATGGATTGGAACATTCCCTGTGTGGGAGTGGCCAAACCTTGACCATATGCACACACACACAAACTATTAGCCTCCTTTCCAAACACAACCTCACACGCACGTGCACACAGAGCTGCAGGGTTGCCATTAGTCATTCAGTCAGGAATGGCAGTCCACAGTGGCTGGTGACTAACACAGGCCAACCTGTTCATCTTCCTGCCATGGCCCTCATCACACGCACTAAGTATCACTTACTCGCCTCCACAGTTTATAGTGGTAATAATACATTGCTCATGTTAAGACAGACATACTGTCTAAGTCGTAGTGCATGGACGAGTGGAAGGTGAAATGATGTGAGAAGTGCTGGAGTTGTCACTGAGCCTGGAAGAGAGAAAAATGGCTTTTGTTTTATGATAAATTAAAGTAGGGCTTCTTAGCCATGTGCCAGTTACAGCCAACAGTGTGCCGGCATTCACTGAAAACAGAGACTACCAAGCTGTAATGTAACTGGTTACATTGACAAAAATAGAGTAATACATGAAAGACACAATACGAAAGTGGTAGATGCAATAAATAAACAGACAGATGAATATTCCTAAAGTTTTACCTCAGTGCACTGCAACATCTGAAGAAGCAAACAAAGGGAATACTACTGCAGTACTACTGTGAATAGGAAAATATAAGCATGTGCCGAAATGCTGCAACTTTTTAGAGGACGCTGAAAACCAGAGGTTGGACAAAGTCATTGTTTTGCAAGTCACTTTTAAAGGACCAGTGTGTAGGATTCAGCGGCATCAAGCACATTAGTTGCAGATTGCAACTCACCCTCGACTTTCAAAGTGTGAAGGAGAAAATGGTGGCCGTAAAAAAATGCACAAAAAAACACTCATATTCATTCATTTATACAGCCCTTCTTGACTGCTGAAGAAACAGAAACAGTTCATTCTTATTACGATTCTTATTTATTTTACTTTTCAGGTGATTATACACTCATTTACAGATGTCGAGACAGACGACCACCCACCTAGAGCCGAAGGATCTGTCCTAGGTTTCTGCCTTTTAACAGGCAGTTTTTCCTTGCCCTTGTCTCCAAGGTCTTGCTCATGGTGGTACTGTTGGGTCTCTATAAATAATGTTATAAAGAGTTCGGTCTAGACCTGCTCTATTTGAAAAGTGTCCTGAGATAACTTCTGTTATGAATTGGCGCTATACAAATAAAATTGAATTGAAATTGAATTTAGCAGTGTTTTGGTCTCCACCAACTCTTGAGGGAAATATCTCTCTTTCACTGCTAAATGTTCCACTATGTTCAGCAACTAGTCTCTAACTGTGTCTGCCTGTTGTTTGCTGCTGAGTAGGTAGTGTATAATTGGTTTATCAGAGCTTTGTCTCTATAAACAGAGTGTAAACAACATATTTTCATGTACTGTTTAGCTGTAATATGAGATTGTGTGTGACCCGGCAACCACCTTGTTTCCTGCTATGAATTGAAACTGCGCAGCCAATGAGTGCAGCTCAACACGCAGTATGTCACCTCTGCGGGCTCAGACAAACTGTCATGGCAATGACCATAACACTAAACTCGAGGCTTCAAAATGGCACTCCACAAAACCAGTGGGTGACATCACCATTGTATCTTTATCAAGCAAAATTACCAACTCACCTGCTTATCCTTCATGAACAACGTGACAATTTGATTTGGTGATTGAATCTTTTGAACAATTTTTTTTAATGAATGATTCGTAGTGATTTAGTACACTGACGAGGGCTTATATATGCTACAGTACATGCTTGGCTAGTTTTGGTGATATTTTAAGCTGACTGTCCTGATTGCTGGATTGGCCACCGCAGCGTGATGTCGGGTTGTGTTTCTCCAAAAGCTGATTCTGTTTCGGTTTCTCCACTGCATTTTTTCAGCTTGTTTTTCATGGAATCCACTGCAGCTTCCACTCACAAGAATGGGAGGGCTGGTCTGAATACAGCCCTTATACCTTTTACATTTACATTTACAATACATTTAAAAAATATAATATATAAATAAAATATAAGTTTGTGAAGCTTTAAAGTTTGCTGATTTTTATGTAACTGTAGAAACCACCCAGCTTCCCATTGTATGTTTGCTTATTTATTTATTTATTTATTTGTAATTTGGGTGAACATGGAAATGCTGTGTGCATTCCCTGCTACTGGCATGTCGTGTGTGTGTGTGTGTGTGTGTGTGTGTGTGTGTGTGTTGTGTGCATGGATGGTGTGTTTTAATTAGTGCTTGTGATGTGTAGAGAAGGGAGATGATCTGGCAGGTCTGAAGACAGTGCAGGACTCACTGAGTGTATTAGATGAAACTGTGATGCTGACACTAATCAGTCCTGTCACGCGGCTGTGGCTCAGAGGCAGAGCGGGTTGTTTCTTAATCGGAAGGTTGTGGGTTCGATCCCTGGCTCGTGGTGCCACATGTCGAAGTATCCTTGAGCAAGATACTGAACCCCAAATTGCTCCCGATGCCGTGCGTCAGTGTGTGAATGTGTATGAATGTTGGTTTCTGTTCGATGCCATCACTGGGTGAATGTGGCACGTAGTGTAAAAGCGCTTTGAGTGGTCGGAAGACTAGAAAGGCGCTATACAAGTACAGGTCCATTTACCATCCATGCAGTATGCAGCACTATGTCAGCACTACAGTGTTACATAGTGCTGACAAACACTACTGCAGATAGCTTCCCACACACACTGAAGGGAAAGTGGCATCAATAAGAGTGACACAGAATGCTTAGTGAAGGAGTAACGTAGAAACAAATTCACATGAAAACAAAACAAGCCAGATGCATATACAGTTAAACATGCTTTAAGACAAATATTACTTCTTATTAGATGTCTATAAGCCAGCATTTAAAGTGGACTGCAGCAGAGCCATAACCCCCTCTTCTATGGGCACATTCTCTGGAAGTCTGCGAGCACTGAGGGCTGTTCAGATGCTGAAATAAAACTAAAGTAAGAATTAAAACTAGGTGTGAAAAATAATTTTAGTTAACTGAAAAATAATAATAAAAACTAGACTTAAAAAAAAGGTAAACTAACTGAAATGATAACTGAAATGATATTGTGGAACTAAAATAAAAATAAAAATATACATATGTATTTAGTGTTAGTCAATTTGGTCAAATTTGTCAACACAACAGGCATGAGGATGCATTGGTGTATATGTTTATTGAGGCTGGGATGTGTACATGGCTGTGAGTTAGTGTGTTTGTATTGTAATACCTATTCTGACAAAAACCCCCATATTATAATTTTAGCTAACACTGAAACTAATAAAAACTTAACTGAAACTAAACGTTTTTAAACACTATAAACTAAACTGAAACGAGCAAACCTAGTCTGGAAACTAACTGAAACTAAACTGAATTGAAAACAAAAGTTGAAAACAAAATAGAAATAAAAACTAATACAAACGTATATTAACTCGGATGATTTAATTACCAATGATTCATTGCAATACGGATGTGATGTTGTAGTTTTTACATTTGCTGGCCCTTTTTGCAGCCACTGCAGTTTCTCCTACACCTTTGTAACAGGAGGGTGAGGCGAGGGGATTGTAATTTGCAACTGAACCACTAGATGCTACTGGTCTGTTAACACTGCACACAGCATTTATAATTCATTTCTCATTTATAAGCATTCAGGCTCACATAGTCCTTGCTCAGTTCCTTATGCCCACATAACACATTTTATGGTCCAATTAAATGTTATACTGTTCTTAGCAAAAAATAATAAAGCTATTAAAATAATAATTAATATAATAATATATATACACACACACACACACACATATATATATATATATATATTCTTAAGATTTTGTTCAGGAGTATATATATATACATATTTGCTGAAACTTTCACTATATCCTGACAGTTGTACATGAGACAGATCATTTGTGAAAAAAATCAGGTTCCTCTGGCTATGTGCTTTGCATGGGGACAGTGAATCAAACAATTATTGCAAAGGAAACCTGTGGGATTGTCAGCTTTGCCAGCGGCTCTCACTGCCAACCACATCACAGTTTGTATCCAGCCGTGTGTTCACCTCCAGCTTCAGATTATCCAGCGGTACAAAAACAAAGTGACACTCTCAGAGTGTTGAATCACCACCTGCACTATCTGATAGACTCACCACATTTACAAAGGTGGGGTTTCCTGCAGAGCTATTGTAATGTTTTTAAATCAGACTGGGCCAGAGTTCATGTTTTTGTGTCCACCCACCGAGCTGCTTTGTGCTCCTCATTTGCTCTGCTGGGTTTGCTTTAGTCTTCCTTGGAAGTCCTTTTTACTTTACAGCCCTCCACTATAACTTTATATACATCTTCCTGCATGCCGTGTTTTTTGGCGCAAGCCGTCAACATCATCCTTCTTTATTTCCTTATTTTCATACTGACCTACGGCTCAGTCAGTGGGCTCAGCAGTGAGCCATAGGTTCATTTCTGGAATTCAGGGAGCTAATTGGTTGCTTTCACCAGGGCTGTAGCTACCATTGAGAACACTGAGGGCACATGATCAGTATTATTTCTGGAAGTGGCTTTAACAATTCGAGTTACAGTCTACAATAAAAAACTAGGCTGCTTCTAGTGTTTTTATACTTAATGTTGTATATTTAGTCTCACAGCATTAATTTATCATCATGTGAAACACATTTTTGTCAAGTGAAAAAATTACATATTGCATACAGTATGTGTATGTATATGTGTGTTTATGCTGCAACTGCTAATGGCAAAAATATTTACAGACATTTGGGATTCATGCTCTCAACTAGAAATAGTACAAGCAAAGTTTAGAAATTATAAAATTATATATTTTTTGTAATATCAGTATTAAGATGCTAGTATCTCATATATAGACGAAAATATGTTTATTATGTTTTTTAATGTTGGTATGTTTGTGTCATTAAGTACAGAAAACTGTTAGAGAAGAATATTTACAATTCTGAATGTGTGTGTGTGTGTGCTTGTGCTTTTGTCTCCAGGGTGGTTACGCTGCCTACAGATATGCCCAGCCTACTGCTGCCACAGCTGCTGCATACAGTGACAGGTAAGACATTGCCGATGGGTGCCTGGTTAGCTCAGTCGGTAGAGCTGGTGACCCATGTATGGAGTCGCTGCAGAGACCCGGGTTCAAATCTGACCTGCGGCCCCTTGCTGCGTGTCATCCCCTCTCTCTGCCCCCCCTTCCTGTCCATCTTCGGCTGTCACTGCAATAAAAGGCCAGGAAAAAAATAAAAAATAACTTTAAGACATCACCGACACATTCAGGAGATTCATTCTTATAATTATTATTATGTTCAGACAGGAAATAATGAGCTATAGATGGTAAAGTGGTCATTTAATTGCCAAGGCCACACTGGCTTTGTTCACTATCGGACTGCATTGCAGAGCAAAATGTATGCATATGTTTCAATTGTAGGTCCTTTAATATTCATGTGTGCCTTTTTGTATTTGCTTACCAAAATGTGTATATGAATATAGTTATATATATGAAGTTGAGGTCTCACAACCACTATGCCAGGGCTGCCCAAAATGGGGCCCAATAAGGTTCAATTTGGCCCTCTTGGTGTTCCTAATAAAAAAAAATTAAATAATTAAGAAAACAATCTAATATACATCTGTATTCATGCTGTTTTATTTCTTAGTGAGGTAAAAATGCCCCATTAAAGGGCAATAAAAAAAATATAGAAAAAATAACTGTTTGTCATATTTGCTAAATATTTCACTATATCCTGACAGTAGTACATGGGACTGTGAAAAAATAAGGTTCCTCTGGGTCCTCCTAGAGCTCCTAATGGTATTTCAAAGAATCAAAAACAACCAATCAAAGCTGAGAAAGACAGTTAATTGTTGAGTCTCATTCCCAGGGCATCAAATATAGACGTTTTGGGAGACTATCTTCAAGCCACCAACCTAAAGTGTCGGTATTTGTTTTTTTTCAGGCCCGGTGGATTATTTCAAATACCATTATATTAGGAGCACTAGGAGGAACCAGAGGAACCAGATTTTTTACAGATTATCTGTCTCATGTACGACTGTCAGGATATAGTGAAAGTTTCAGTAAATATGACAAAAACATATTTTTTTATAAAAGCTACCTACTGCAGCTTTAAATACTGACGAATTAATTTCACTGCAAACACCTGTTTAAATTTTTTTTGTAGTCATGGTGTAAATATTCTTTTATAAATAAACATTATCAAACATGTAATATACACCGACGCGGTGGCAGGCATTAACAATATTTATGCAGAAATATCCAAACTTCTCCATGATGGTTTTGTTTGTTTATGTTGGTCATATAGATAAAAACTCCTTGTAGTACGTTTAACTTCTACTATACTGTAGTTACCATGGGCAAGTAATCTTAAAACCTTTTGGCATTGAACATAAAAAAAAGTCATGGAGCGTAATCTCTAGAATCGACTAATATCAATGGTATCTGTTAGTGATCGGGTTGGTTACTAACACTGGTTATTTAATGAGCAGGATAACCCAGATCCCTACTCGACCCCGACCCCATACATTTAATATAACAATAAATAGTATCCATAGTAACAGCGCCACAATGTACAGGAGGCAATGGAGTTGAATCGTTGAATCCATACCTCCCTGAGAGAGTCTCAACAAAAACACAACTTTAGAAGCTTCACCAAGTTCATTACAGGGCTGTTACATCGGATTGCACTGCAGGTTACAGTTCAAATCTCTGGAGACTTCCTCCATAAAAGACTTCACTGTGGAAAATACAACATGGAGTCATGGATTTAGTTAATTAGTGGAAATATGCTGCATGAACACTGGAAAAGGGGCTTGGAGTTGAAATAGTGGTTTCTAGGCTGAAATGATATTTGAGGGCGTTTTATCTCCTATATGCCCCTCGCCATTTTTATTAATAATAGATATATTCATAACACAATGAATAATTTGTGTTAAATTAGTAAGCACTGGTGTGTAATTTTAGTTTATAATTGCATGGAACTTGCAGATGTCTGTCCTTTTTGATTCATTATTCATCTCCTGCTTCACTTCCCCCAAATTCTGTTTTTTTTGTGTGAGCTCAGTTTGAATGAACAATCTTGGATGGCAGAAATACCATCCATCTAGTTCAGGGTATAAAACTATTATAGAGAAGGCTGTGACTCTAGACAAAAGAGCAGCTAATATTTTAGCAGAGAAAGTAGCTAGTTTCATTTGAAAATAAGCTATCGTGCTTATGAATGATGACGCTGGCTGTATTTGCCAAGAAAGAATTAAGGGAGTGCCAAGATTGGAAGATTTATTCCACTGCATCAGTGCTTTTATTCAGAAAAAAACATTGAAAACTGGTTCAAGGGCTAAAGAAAAAGAGGTGAAACTAGCAGTCCTCCCCTTCTTAAAACCCTTTACATCACATGCTCATGGACACACATCAAGGTGACATGAGGAATATTAAGTAATAAGCAAGAAGCAACAAAGTACAAGATCATCACAAGACAGTCCAAGTTCACACCCAGATTCCTGCAACAAAACCATCTTCACCTTTGGTGAAGGTAAGGTAAAGATTGTTATTTCAGTTAATTGTTAACAAAAAATCTTAGATCAAAAGTCACTTTTGAATAATGCTGTGGTCACTATGACTGGATGGTGTTGCAAGAAATCTGTTGTCTGTGTTGTCAACAGTTTTGCAACTGCAGTTACTTAATCAACAGTATTTCCTTGTTGTATTCATTAGGGATGTTCCTGACAACTAGTTTCCTAGTTTTCCTGTTCAGACTAGTTGATTAGTCTTAAAGAAAGAAAACACGAATAGTCAACAACAACCAGTTAATAAGTGTTATTCACTTCACCAGTCAGTGCTTATAATGTTATGGAGGATTGTAGCCATCTGAAAATTGTATTAATCAAAAGATAATAATAGTCAGAGTGGGATCACAGTGTCTGTGGGTTTGGATGGTAAGCAATGTCAACTTGTCTTGCTGAGGCTGGCCGACGTTAGTAGCACTAGCTCCAGCAGCCTGCTCTCCTTGCAGTTAAACTACCACATGTCCACCATGCTGAATGTGGTTACACATTGCTCCAGTCGAGTTGCTATATGCCAGTTTACTTCTGATACGACCTGACACTGATGAACCCCTTAGGAGCCACCCATCCCTGTTTTAACTATATTTGGGTGCGTGGGGAGGGGGGCTGCTGTGACTGTCTGCTTGAGCTGCTCCCACTATTGGCGGGTGTCTGTGTAACATCTTAGATGCAACAGTTAACCAGGGGCGGCTGTGGCTCAGAGGTAGAGCGGGTTGTCCACTAATCGGAAGTTGTTGGTTTGATTCCCGGCTCCTCCCGCTGCATGTCTAAGTATCCTTGAGCAAGACTGAACCACACTTGCTCCCGATGCTTTGCCATCACTTCGTGAAAGGGCGAATGTGGCATGTAGTGTAAAAGCACTTTGAGTAGTTGGAAGACTAGACAAGTACAGGGTAATTTACCAGAGTTGTACAATTAAGGCTTATATTAATAGTTTAACCAACTAGTATTTCTCTAACAGACTAGTAATTGTGCACATACTAATGTTAGAAAACATAATTTCTCAGAGGCAGGGTGGCTGGTGGTGTAAATAGGCAACTGTTTTCTAACACATTCACCAATGATTTTATAAGGTGATATGTCCATGATGTGATAATCATGGACATATCATCTAATATATCAGATGTTGTGTTTTCAACTTGATCTGCTGCCTCCAAGTGGCCAAACAATCAGTTAATGGAGCTTTAAATGTACCGTGAGCAAAGGCTTACAAGAGGACTGTTTGAATGTGTCACTCAGGTCTGGTATGGCATTGGGGACTTTGCTTGTATACCTGTGTAACCTTGATGTGTCCATCTGTGCGGGGCCACACTGGGTCATGTTCATGGCAAGAGGGTCACAGATGGCAAGCACCAACAGCTGCTTTCATGAGGCCTGACCAGACCCAGTCTGGCTCATGTGGCATACAAACCAGTAAAAAATTGAATGCAGTCACTGATGCAGATATGCTCATGCGAGCCCATTATGAGCTTTCACAAATTACTACACACATGCACATGGGCAAGCAAAGACTTTTTGCCCTTTACCATAACAGGAACTTTGCTAGTCCACTTGCAATCCACTTTAAGTGCTAAATGTAATACAAACTGTCAACATTTTTTGAAATATGGAAATTTGTTTGGCAATGATAATTTAATTTGCTTTTAAAAGGAATGCCCCTGCCATCCTAGTGTCTGGACCTCAAAAAATGTACACAATGTACTTGCTTTGTGACCCAAAATGTTACTTCTGCTAAAAGAAAATTGTGGGCTGTCAAGTCTTAAACATGCACATTTACATCAACACACACCTCTGAAGAATACCACCCAAAACAGGCATTGACAGTGTTGTGAATCTTCTCTTTGGAGAGTGCCTGGTCAATCCACAGATCTTTACACTTGTTTAGCTTATGGAGAGTATACACTGGGATAGAGGGAAAGAGAGACAGAGACATGAAATATGAATAGTAGCTGGGTCAACCCTGTTCATTTTGCCTCCACTCCATCTGCTTATCCCTAGAAGATGAGAGATTTTCCTGTGATACCACTCTGTTGTCTTCAGCAGAATACTTGAACATTTCAGGAAATACTCTTATTTGCTTTCTTTCTGAGTGTGAGATGAGAAGAATCTCATCTCTGTGTATTAAGAGTGAAGTTAGAGTCATGTCGTGGTTAGCCTATAGCTCACATAAAGATGGGGAACATGGGGAATGTTTTATATCAGTTCTTACATTATATAACTTGGGTTATGTTTTATATCATATAGCAAATGTTAGCAATGTTGCAATTGCAACAGTTAATGCAAATTGAACCAATTCCTGTGGATTCTGCCTGACCTTGCAACTTTGTCCAATCACCACAACCAGCCAATAAGGTGTACATCATTCATCAAAATATCACAGCTAACTACACCTAAAACATAAACAGGAAAAAAGACAGGTTTTAACAGAGACAGAGCCTTATACAAAGTATCAGTAGTGTATACTACATGATATATGTCATGTATCAAATTCAGGTTACGTAAAATAGTTCCTCAAATTATACATATAATAAAAAACATAACATTACATCATTGTAGGAACAGGTGCAACTCTGTTCATCACGTTGCCACAAATTTTCATATGGGTATCTTGCCTTTATCTATTAGTTTATCACATAGTCTTTCATAGGATGATATTTTAGCCAATTTATCCAGTCCCCCCTTCAGTGATATATCCCAAACAGTGCAATTTTATTCTGGAATAAGTTGGAATAAGCCTTCGATTTCTAATGAATCATACAAAATAAAAATCACAACAGTTTCAGCATTTTCGCAATTTCATTGCAAAATGCCTGAAAACATCACAACATGCATTGCAATTTTTTCCCATCCTAATCCCAAACAAAAGTCTGTCCTAGGTTTCTGCCTCTTAAAAGGCAGTTTTTCCTTGCCCCTGTCTCCAAGGTCTTGCTCATGGTGGTACTGTTGGGTCTCTGTAAATAATGTTATAAGGAGTTCGGTCTAGACCTGCTCTATTTGAAAAGTGTCCTGAGATAACTTCTGTTATGAATTGGCGCTATACAAATAAAATTGAATTGAATTCCTAGCGGGACTGGTAAACATTATCCCTGTATAACATCAACCTGTTAGCAGTGCCATGGTGAGCATGTTAGCATTTAGCTCAAAGTACCACTGTGGCCAAGTACACAGAGGTCTCCAGCTGTGTACAAAATGCACAGACATGCTTATGTTTCTCTCAGGAAGTAATGTTAGCTGGAAAGACAGTGATTGCTGTGTGTCCAAAAGGAGAAAAGATTAATTCCTGCATACTGTCTAAATTGCAAAAACATTTATTTTAAAGGTTTCGGTTTTTGCAAGGACCTTAATTTGGTAAAATGGCATTTTGTACTGAAACATTGGAAATAAATGTTTCTATTGCAAGTTAGACAGTGTGCAGGAATTTATCTTTTCTGTATTTGGATGCTCATCCCACTCCTACGCCCCTGCCTTATGAAACAGATGTGCAGAATTCTTGTGTCTATTTCCTGCTAAAGGGGAATTTTTTCAAAATGAGAAGAAAATAGGTTATTATTCTGCCAAATGACCAAGAATGCAGTTTTACCTCATCCGACTGCAGTTCTTTAGATTGTTGAGAGACAATATTACATTTGTATAATTTTGTAAATTTTTGGAAAGCTTCCTTTCTTCCCTAAATATTCACTCTATCAAAAAACCTTGTGCATTTGACGGAGCTTCCAACCATTTTGTAGAGCAGCTGAAAATGTTGAAATGTTGTTTCCGTGTTTATCTTTTCACCTCAGGGTCATTTTAAAAATGCATTTGACTCAAATTGCATTTGAATTTGTGTTGTAGATGCAGCTTACCACACACTCTCGCACGTACACACAGTCACACACACACACACACTGATGATGGGTTAGGTCTCTGCGCTGTGAGATAAGATAGGTCAAACGCAGTTCTGGACTGAGTGTGGGTGTTGAGGGGGCTGCATGGTGAATAGCAATGTCCAAAACTAATCGGGATTAACTTCTAATCGCTTCAACCACTGGGCCGCTATGCAAATCAGCTCAATTATGGGCACAGGCCCTGGCCCCTGATTGGCCCTTATCATGACTGGGCTAGGACATGGATGGGAGGAAGGGAGGGGGGGTGGGACCGGTTGGCCACAGAATGGCTGCTCACTTGGAACACTGCTGCTGTCTAGTTTCTTGTAAAAATAGAAAAGTCATTGAATCTATATTCTTTTAGTCTATTTTCATGAGGCTTTGTGGTTTGTTTTTGTTTCACAGTATCATATGAACTCTCTCTTTCTTGGATAATTGCCTTTGACTGTTTCCTAGACTATTCATTAACAACCCAGTTGAATGTGTCTGTACACAGGAGGTAGAAATATAACAAAAATAATGTTGGCCCACTCAACACTCTGGTCCACATCATAGATTGCACACTTAAAAATGGACATAGTCCCTGTGACATCCATAGTTTTCTGAAGATCCGTTGTGAAGCTCAGTGTGGTCGGCTCTGACTGTCGCCATCTTGGCAGTCCTGATTCCGCTCGCTCCCAGCTAATCCAGAAATGGACAAAGAGGTGCAGTGTCGGTAAAGTTGAGACTGGCTGAATGAAAACTGTGAAACTGTAAACAGACGCAGTTCATGGTACCCACTTGTCAGTCACGCTCTTAATTATGCATACATTTAAGCCTTAATATAATTCAAAGTACCAGAGTGTGTTAAAGGCCCTATCTAGAGATAGTGTTTGGTTTGTCCATTCTGAGCTACTGTAGAAACATGGTGGTTCAAGATGGCAAACTCTGTAGAAGAGATAGATTAAAAACGTCTCATTCTAAGCTAACAAAAAGACAATGATTCATATTTTCAGGTATTTATATACTTTTGAAAATATACCTATGAATATTATAATGTATTTCTGTCAATAGATCTTAAATGTTACACACTGGACCTTTAAATGGGTGAGCTGTATAAAAATTCACCCCAGTACAGTTGTCACGAATGGGAAAATTAGCTATAGGGACCAAAAGCGATTTTTGTACCAGGCTGTAAACATGTTTATTTCTGCTGTACAGTTGGGGATTTTAATATGGGGCCCTAATAGAGATTGACTCACTGCTGAAGCCAGCCTCAAGTGGCTGTTAAAGGAACTGCAGTTGTTGGCAGTTCCGTGTTGGGTCCATTTGTCAGCCACAGAGGTTGCTGCTTGGTCCACACATATCTCCTACTACTGGCCAGACTGCCTTGTTTTGGATAATAATGTTCCTGAGAGGATGATTATTTTTTAATGGTTCCCTGGCCTTTATTCTTCACTATCAGGCCAAAAAAAAGGTGTAATACAGAAAATAATTCATAATTTACAATAGACTCAGAACTGCTAACTCAAGATGTTGTAATAAAAATGTCAGATTGTCATGGAAACCACCGAGCACATTCACGCTTCCCACAGAATGACGTCTTTTAAATTTATAGAGTAACTCCACCCCTGAGTTTGAAAGGAGGAAAAACATAGCTGCACAACAAGTGGCTAACTGAGCCTACAGAGGTTGTCGGTGACATTAAAACACAGAGACTTATATACTCACTAGTTTGTTAAGTATAATATTTAATTACAAGTTGGAAGTTAAGTGGTGGTGATGTTGAACTCATAGAGGTGTAGTTTGTTGCTTAAACCTGAAGTCAAGTAGATGTCGTTTTAAGGATTTTAACATGGAAATTATACTTTGTTTGCATACATATATTACATATCAGACACACATTATTGTTCCAAGCAGGCCATTGGACTTGGTTTTATTTCACTCTGTCAAAAGCTATAATCCCTTAAATTCTTGATAATTTATATCTTCAACTGTGCATTACTGATTTAACAGAGCAATAATTTGTGCTATAAAAAACTAAAAAAATATATGTGTGATACTCTGGTTAATACTACAATTTACTGTACACTTTAACACACTAATTCATAGATCTCATTTCTCAACATTAATATTTATATCAATATTAACATGTCTCTTAACCATCCTCTGTTGTTTCATGTGTTTCTGTAGTTACGGACGAGTATATGCTGCCGACCCCTATAACCACACACTCACTCCAGCAGCCACATACAGCGTTGGTGCCATGGTAAGACTATCATGCCTGCCACACATCTCTGTTCTCCATTCCTGGTCCCCTCCACGTCATGCATCTTTTTGCAGTGCATGCCACTTCCTTCTATTTCTGTTGTTTAGAGCTTCACAAATTTGAGTGGAGTGAATATAATCTCAATGCCAAACTGACCAATTCTTGTATTTGGTGTTGAATCCGGCAATGGCAACATAATTCGGATAATTTAATATGGCAACTCAGTCTTGGTGGCCATACTTATTAAGCTTTACGTATAAAAAGATATATGATCACAGTAAAGGTTGCCCTATAAATTAATGCCTTACTTTAATGTAGTACAAGTCTTGGTATTATAGGCACTGTAAGCCTCAACAAACTGATATTATGATGGATCTAATAAAAAAGGTCCATTAAGCCTTGGGCCTGTCATATTCTACAGGTTGTTGTGCACCCTCTCTTGTTGACACATCCTTGACTATAGTGGTTCTGCTTAAAACAGAACTGCTTCAAGAACCAGAGTTAATTTGGTGAAAAAACACTGTGAGTGAAGGAAAATCATTTTGCACATGGCTGCTTGTATCCATGCTCATTACCTAGGGCTCATGACCATAGGCGAGATTTGGATTGACTGATAAATTGAAATCGTTGCCTACATTCTGAGCTCCACCACAGCAGTGTGGTACAGCATCTGCAGTAGTTGTAGTAGTAGCCATAAATAAGACAGATACTAGAAACTCCTTTACTTGGGTCTGCACTGGACCCTTACCCTGGCAGAGCCAGGATTGTGCTTGACTTTTTTCTCAGAATACGGATACAGCTCCAACTTTGATTCTACAAGGCCCGGATGACATGTAGCAATGGCCCTGGCACCCTATTCTCCCAAAGAACTTCCCACAAGACACCCAGGCAGAAATTGCCTTCTTCAAGGCTACAAAGCACAGGTAGACTGGACTAGACAAACTACCCCCAAGTATCCTTGCAAGTAAGGAGCTGGTCTACTGCTCCACGACCAGGATGGAATCAACATTGTTCCTTCTAAAACAGAGGTCTGATAATCGGCCAGTCTATTTTCCAGCACCCTGGCATTCACAGAGGCTGAGAAGGGTTGACCACACCCTATGAGCACACTGCACTACTTTCAACTTGGCTGTTTTACCTTCCAAATGGAAATGACTTTTGTCATGAGTTTGTCATATATCAGATGGCTTCTCCTTTCTACCCACCTCCAGTATAGAGCATGCCCCATTGGAGGCCAAAAGGACCATTTCTTGTTGACTACTATTATTATTACTATTTCTTTAAAAATATACACAGCACCTAAGAACTAATACAACAAAGTGAAGCAACACTGAATTTGTCAAAAAAAAAGAAGCCTATTAGGAAAACACATCTCTGATGCAATATTCATAGGTTATAATCTGCTCAAAATTCATCCAAATTCTCAGGTTTTCTCCAAGTTTTCCTGCAGTTATTGTGTTCACTGTTTGGGGTCATTTATCAGTTGTTCTCTACTGTTATTGCTATACATTAAATATAATATGAAATATCCATAACAAGACAGAGACAAAGATGCACAGCAAGTGAGCCATCTTCCATCTCCTATGCAGAAGGAAACATACAGCCGATGTGCACAAGTGTATCCAATGAATAAAGGCCTTCCCTAATGTTTTAAAATGAGTCTGTTGTTTCACACACTAAACACTTGCATTGTTAGCTATATATTCAGTTTTGCCATCTCCACACATGCCTAATCTCCTCCATACTGTCCCCCTCCCCCTTTCCCATTCTTTTCTTCAGTCGCTGTGCATGAGCTCCTCTGCAGCACTGACATCTCCTCACTTAAACTTAATTGAATTTGTCTGCGCTGCTAACGGCAGTCCAAATGACACATTAATCCCGCCTGTAAAAGGTGATGAATGTCTTCATGCCTTGGCAGTCCAGTCCATGTTAGTTATTATATTTCTAATTTGGTGGATACCACCTCACCCCGGACTCCCTGGTAATGAAATAATTAGTCATTTTGATAATTAAATCCCTTGTGGTGCTGCAGCAGCTGGGAGGAGGCGAGGGAGGAAAGAAGTGAGTGAGAAAGCTGGGCGGACTGGAGGGAAAGATTGTCGGGAACTTACTGGTTAGTCGTAAACAACGCACTCCAAACTGAGCAAGCTCAGCTACTGTGTAATTAATCACATAACTGTGTTATGAATGTTTGCAAACAAAAGAAAATGACTTGCATGAAATAATGTGCCAGTCAGTCTGTGTGACAACAGACAAACAACAGTGAATTACTCTCAAGTTTCAGCTTTTATTGTGCTTCTGATTCACTATGTAGTTAAAATAGTTGATCTGTGTTAACTGTAGGTCGGATTAAAGCTGCAGTAAGTAACGTTTATAAAATAACTTTTTGTCATATTTGCTGACACTTTGACTCTATGCTGACAGTGACATGAGACAGATAATCTGTGAAAAAATCAGGTTCCTCTGGTTTTAGTGTTTGTTGAGTTTAGCCTTAACAGTGTGGTCCAGCGTGCCAGAGCCAACCCCTTTTTTACCTGCACCCACACTCTGCTCTCCAAAGCAAGTAAACACGAGAGACATGCTACCTGTGCTAGCAAAAGGCTTCTCCTAGCCAGTCATCAAAGTACCCGTACCAATAAACTATTGTACCCAACATCAGCAGATTTTTTTGGTTTATCTCTTCCTCCTCCTTGTTGCTTGTTGGTGGTTGTATTAACTGGATTTTTTTTACATAGCTGTTGGCATGTACCCCTGGCATGAAGCGTCTCGCTGTGCTTGCTGCATGACGGTTTCTCCGGTCATTGGTCTTTTCATCCCCCTGGGTTTGCACTGGAACAACGGTAACGTAATGTTAAAGATTTTGTTGTAGTTTGTGCTGGATTAAGGGGGGCTAACAAGGTTTGTGTGTGTGTGTGTGTGTGTGTGTGTGTCTTCCTTTGTGTATGTGTATCTTGGTGTTTCTATGAATATATATGTGTGTGTGTGTGTGTGTGTGTGTGTGTGTGTGTGTTTGGATTTCTTTGTGTTTTTGATGTGTGTTTCAGAATGCGTTTGCCCCGCTGACAGATGCCAAAACTCGGAGCCATGCAGACGACGTGGGGCTCGTGCTGTCCTCTCTCCAAGCTAGTATATACCGGGGAGGGTACAGTCGCTTTGCACCCTATTAGCAACACCTCCGACCTACTATACTCAACCTTCCAACGGGAGAGAAAGAAAGTGTGTGTGCGAGCGAGTGTGTGAGCGAATGAGAGCAGAGGAGAGATGTTACTGAGGCCTGGGTATTGCAATACATGCAGTTTGTGCATCATTTCAGCATCTCCTAAGAGAGAAGTACAAAAAAAGAATAAAATGACAGCTGATATTTTTCATCTTATACCTCAGATATTTTGTGCTGTGTATTTTGATATTGTGGATTTTTAATTTCTAAAGATTTAAACATAGATTATCAGCTGTAGAGGTTTTTCCATGGTACTAATAGAGCGCTGCTAGAGTAATGATTAGGACAGAGGAAATATTTATCAGATTCAAATTGTTAGGGCTTGTATAGAACTTCAATCCTGTAAGATAGGTCATAGTCAAACTTTCGGGTTTTTATGTTTTGTAAGAGTGTTAAAGTGACTATGCCAGTCAAGTGTTGTTGTTTTACTTCTCTCAGCTTTCTTTGGCACTTCCTCTGTCAGTTTAGCAATGATAATGTTGTTTTATAGTTTGGTTTGGGAGGAAGTAAAGAAGCCTTGGAAAACAATCGACACAGACAATATGTTCCTTTAAGGGTAGGGTGTTAAAGAAGCTGAGGGCAGCCATGATTGTTATTTTTTAAGTCCATTATCTTGAGATCACAATTTGATTTTTTTTATCTTGTTACCTCAAGAACAAACTGTTTACTTATTACTGCAACTTCACATGCTTATAATTATTTTGACAAACCAAAATAATAATTTCTTTTTTTTCCTTATGTTTCTTAACATATGAAATTGCATTGCATTCACAAAAAAGTTAAATATGTTCTTTGTGAATGCTTTAAAAAAAAGTTAAATGTAGTTTCTGTAACAGTAAAACACCGTCATATCTCATGGCAAAACCTTAATTTATACAGCATTTTTAAAGTAATTTATATGGAATAAAGCTGTTTGTTTAACATTTGGTAAATTGCACAGAAACCTACTGTCATATCTCAATTATATAAATGGTAACTAATAATAATATAATATTTGCTATAAACTTTTACTATATCCTAACAGTAGCACATGAAACAGATAATCTGTGGAAAATCAGGTTCCTCTGGCTCCTCCTAGTGCTCCTAATGGCATTTGCAAAAATCCACCGGGCCTGAATGAAAATAACCAATCAGAGCCAAGGAAGATAGGTGACTGTTGAGTCTCAATCCCAGGTTGTCTAATACAAATTCTTTGGCACCCTAGGAATGAGACTCAGCAATCAACTATCTTCAAACTTCCAAGTGTGTTTATATCTCTCTCGCCTCTGATATGTTGTTTCCGTTTAGGCCAGGTAGATTCTTGCAAATACCATTAGCAGCACTAGGAGGAGCCAGAGGAAGCTGATTTTTTCACAGATTATCTGACTCATGTACTACTGTCAGGACACAGTGAAAGTTTCAGCAAATATGAAAAGAAGTTATTTTTATAAAAGTTACCTACTGCAGCTTTAAGATAAGGTCTACAGTTTTCCTTTGGTGAATGCAATGCATTTTCATTTTCAAGTTCATTTGTTGTTAAAACAAGATGTTTCTCTAATGACAAAAATACTTTCTCCAATAATGGCATCTTTGCTCTTCCATAGCTTATCTTGAGATAGCGAGGTAATGAAGTCATGATCTGTGAATTAAATAAAACTACAACAGGTATTAGCAATCACATCTGCTCCCAGCTTCCACAACAGAGGTGAAGTTTAGTTTCCTTTTCAGGGAGAGAGTGGTGTTATTCAGGCTGTAGGTTTATCAACTAAATAATGTGGTTATATCTTAGATCACTTCAAGCCAAAGGTTCTGGTAGACATATCTGGTGTGTTTATGTGTATAGTCAAGATTCTACATAAATATGAATTATGAGTTAAGAAAAAAAAGGCTTGCCATGGCAACAAAACTGTTCAACCCATTTAATTGCTTAGTCCACATGCTGTGATATGAAAAAGAATTAGGGCCACATGAATTAAAAAAAAAGATAAATTAGATTAACTACAGGAAAAGTTTGGATCCACTTGTTGGGAGATTAAATGTTTTGTGGCACTAATCCTCTTCCGTACTGAGTAGTGTTGGCCATCCAGACATAGATGTTTTTTATATAAACTTCCAATATATTCATTGGTATAATGATGATGATTTTTATATTACAGGAGAGATTTAAAAAATATATATAGCAGTGGCCAGTGCTGCTGTGTCTATTTTATCTTTTTGTTTGTTTTGTTTTGCCTCGTTTTTTTAACTTTTCTTTCATATTTCAAATTGAAAGGGGGGTAAAGTATAATAATCCAACAATGTATTATATTTGAACTGTGCAGTGAAGATGTTCTCTTATATGAAATACACAATGGTATAATGTTTTAGATTTAGACGAGTAGATGAGTTGTTAGGGCGAGCTATCTCATTTTCTATCAAATCATATTCAGATTTTTATTAACTCTTTACAAATAATGTAACCACAATGTAGATACTCTCATTCATCTATTCTTTTTTGTTGGTCAGCTGTACCATTTTGCACATAAACTTGTAATTTTCACATAAACCTGAGACATATCAGTGCTGTAGTTGTAATATTTGTTCATTTCTTTCTCATTCATAATGTGACATCCTTTCTGCTATTTTCTAGAAGTCTTTCTCTTTGAAAATTAACTGTTTGAATATTACAATACTAAATGAATATGAGAAATAAATGATTTGTGGACAGACTAATCTATGATGTAAATAGAAGTTAATGGAATAAATCTGTAGTGTATTTGAAAAGCACTACATGGGCAACAGGAGCTCTGCTACGGCTGCGTTGCAAGCCAGCCTACGGGCCGCTTCCTGTGCCACATTCTGTTTACAACTATTCCCAATTAGTGGTGTTGTTAATATCTCCCTTTTTTGTATTTATAACAAATTAGATAGGAAAAACTCTCAGATGCATCACATTATAAAAAAGGCAGCGGTAAGAGTCTCAGGGGGGCTGCTCGGCTCCGCTGGTTCGAACCTTCTTCTGTGTGCTGTGTGCGAGGACTGTCGATCAGAGCTTGGGCGACCTGTAGTCCTCACTATGCTGAATGTCTGACTCCGCAACTACTTTATACAAGCTCTGCTTCCAGTAGGTGTTGTGGTTCAAAACAAGGCTTCCTACCCAGTCATTGTATGTGCATGTACTAATGGTTCTTCCACTAATCAATAACCATCAATAAAGTTTTGTTTTCTCAAGTTGCTCTCATCCGTTTCCTCTTTTAAACACTCTTTTAAAGAAGGTTTTATTAGCAAGAGTGTGTTGTTTTTATATTTTCTTATTGGCCGTTCCTAAGCCCCTACCCCTTTGCTCTGCGCTCCAATAACAGTTGAGCAAGCCTCGGTCAATCTGACCAACTTTCTCCTTTCCTGTACTTACTACTTTTGAATATTTTCTCAAGTACCCCCTGTCCAGCGCTAAAGGTTTTGGTAAAAAAACAAACAAAAAAAACACATGACGAGCCATCAGAGTCTGATTTATTAAAAACCTTGTCACTGAAAACCTCATAAATGCTACATTTCAAATGTGTAAAAGCCATCATTTAATTCATGGCAAACCATTTTCCTTTCACCATCATGCAGTAACAATAAGTCGCATTGAACTGCATCTTTTTTATAAATTGCGTTTACAGTTTAGTGAGAAATATGAGCTTGTACTTCACTGAGGATTTCTGTCATTCTCGGTGGCAGGGAGGCAGGTTAACAAATCCCTGAAAAAGACCAAAACTGTGTTAGTCCATCTCAATATTTTCTGACTCTTGGCTCTGCTTCGTTGTTTTTGTTCAGGCCCGGTGGATTTTTGCAAATGCTATTAGGAGCACTTGGAGGAGCCAGAGGAACCATATTTTTTCACAGATTATCTATCTCATGTACTACTGTCAGGATAGAATGAAAGTTTATACGTATTACTACAGCTTTAAAGTCCTCTCTGATGTCAATTTTGGTTTGTGATTATGTTTAGGTCATGATTTTCCTTTGTTCTGAAATGCCTGAGATTGTCACTAAAATTTAATTTTAGTGTGACATGCAGTTTTGGCACATTTTATCCTCCATATTAGACCGTACTAATAATTTTCATGTTAAATGTTTTTACACCTTTGAAGGTTAGAGGTTAGGCTATTTAAAATGTGTTTTATAAATAAATGTATAGCCACAGCCGTGCTTTTTTATTCATTTATTGGACAAATGCCCAGCCTGCAGTCCACCATCAGACAAAATGAGGGAGGGACCTCGACCATTATTCATAATTTCACCTTGTTGGAAGTGAAGTACTTTGGGATCAAGTGAAATATGCATGTCAGCCCTGCTTTCTAATTGAAGCAAAGAGAAGAATTACTCTCCAGCTCAATTTGATTGGTGTAATTAGAAAAATCTAGCCAAGGGGTTAGGCGGAAAGATAAGCAATATAAATGTTTAAATTTGATGAAGGGTTCACATTACAGAAGGTAATTATGTCTTGCTAGTGCAGAAACAGGTGATCAATAATTAATGCATAGCAGCTCACATGTGATGGAGATATAATTCAAAGTGCTTATTAATTCTGCAATTTGGGATAAAAATGTTGAGAGAGAAAGAGTTCATCCTCAGTTCCTCTTTTAAGAGACACTGAGCTTCTCTTGGATTTAACTTTATTATAGTTTCTCATGTAGCCTACATACTACATATTATATAACACCAACTGTATAATGAGTGTGCGTGCAAGTCCTGGCATATAATCATGAAATTGATGTGTGCATTGTTGTTACAGTGCATCATTCTCAGTGTTCTTTCTGTAGTCAAGTCTGACCCACAGCAGTGTGGTGTATGAAATGATCCAACAGACTATTTTTATCTGGGAATGTTCCAATACACACACATTTATAGTAGTATACAAATTAGGTCTAGTATGGTATTGTATATGCTATTATACTTTGATATGAAATTATGTTAATATGAATATGTATGTTAAAGACCCCTACCAGACATATATACAAATAGTCTGCTTGGAACAATATTGTGTGTCCGATATGTTAAAAGTACAATTTTCTCGTCTAGTAATCTACTCCTTCTACCTCATTAAAAATTCCATAATCTCTTCTTTCCAAAATGTTCCTGCTGTACATAAGATGTCTCCTACTTCACTGTAAAGTCCATTCTCAGTGGATGTGCACTGGTGGCTTCAAGTTTTTACATCACACTGTACAAGTTGCATACTGGACTTTAAAGCTGCAGTAGGTAATTATATAGAATATTTATAAGAAATTACAATAACCACTATATCCTGACAGTAATACATAGGACAGATAATCTGTGAAAATCAGGTTCCTCTAGCTCCTCCTAGTGCTCCTAATGCAAGAATCTGTCAATAAGAAACAGTCAATCAGAGCTGAGAAAGATAGTTGATTGTTAAGTCTTATTCCCAGGGCTTCAAATACTGACTCAACAATCAACTATTTTTCTTTACTCTGATTTGTTGTTTTCGTTCAGGCCCTAAATACCATTAGGAGCACTAGAACAAGCCAGAGAAACCTGATTTTTTTCTGTGTACTACTATCAGGATATAGTGAACATTTCAGCAAATCATATTTTATAAAAGTTATACTGCAGCTTTAACTCATTAACTCCACAAAAGGTATTAAAGTGAACACATACCTGTCACATTAGATCATCATCTCCTGATTAGATAATCAGTTAATTATTATAGCAGGCAAACCGTGATGATGGTAGAGAGAAATACTAATAATAAGTTATGAGTTATAGATACAATCAGGTCACTGGGGCTCATTGACTACAATGTAGTAGTTTATGAATTACCTGCCAATTACCTGTAAACATTTTCATTATGAATCATTGTCACAGTGATGAGTGTGTGACAGTGAGTATGGAAAAAGCTGAACTGAGTTATAAATAAAATGGATGTCTATGAAAATTCATGGGAGAGAGAGGTGGGAGGATGACAGGATGTAGGGACCTTGTGGTCACATGGTGTGTGTCATAGACCAGCTAGACCGCCAGATTGAAAGGGTGCGCTTGGTTAGTGATTATGGAATAAGGCATGTCGTGTGTATAGCAGCGCAGCTCGAGTTGACTGCCTGAACTAGATTGCAGGCTTCGCTCCATATATGGTCACCATGGGTACAAACCATGTAAAATCCATGTCTTTTTTCTTTAATTATTATTTTATTGTTTGTTCAGTGTTCTGTTATTATGTTTATGTTATATTATGTTTTCTCATGATTTTTGTTTCTTATTCATATGACTCTATTGCATGAAATTCACATGTAAATAAATGAGGGGATGTGAATTGTATGGCACAAATAAAAAGTTAAAAAAAATACAGATTTAAATAGCAGTAGCCTCTGGGAAACAAAGTCAAACATGTGAGATCTGTTTTATCTGAGTAAAGTAGCAAACAAAACAGTTTTCATGATAATGGTTTATTTTACAGGTCCTGTAATATTCCCAATAATTTCTAAGAATATTTCTTAGAAAGAGCTGTTGTTTGACTGTAATTAAACAGAAAATAGAGACTATTACAAGATAGTAAGGAGCAACTCATTTATTTTACTTTCTATATTTATAAGAAAGAACCTGGGGATGATATGGTACAGTCATAAGTGGTTGTTGATGTCCCTAAAATGGTTCGCAAACCTCAGTGATACAAAAACTGACAGAGATTCATTTAAACCCAACTTATTGTTGTAAACTGTAATGTTAATATCATATGCTTTCTGGGAAATTATTATGAAACATCAGGACCCCTAAAATAAAGTATTACCTTTATTTTGTACACTTGAATGAATGAATCCAGTTTCTTTCTTTTTTTTTCTTCAATTTCTAGCACAAGCTGTTTGTGCTCTGTTTTTTGTGGGTTTTATCTTCCTGGGTGGAGTTTACATTGTACAGTGAAATATTTATACATTGTGGGTGTTTTATAAGCGGATTCCAGTATTTTTAGACTCAGTCTGTGTAAATGCATGTACTTTTAGGCCAGCAATTGTATAAATAAATAAAGGCTTAAGGCAGAGTTTTGTTCCTGGCAGTGCAGAGAAGGCTTTCAAACTGAATTTAGTCTTTAATGCTGAGAATTGTGTAATTCGATCATCAACTAGTCCTAAACTAAATCTTACTTTCCAGGATACTTCAGTGGAAGTTCCTTTGAAGTTTCTTATCAGTGCTTGAAATGGGCCTGTAATCGCTAGTACCGGCACTTCTGATTTGTGTCCTTGAGTACCCTTACTTCTTCTGATGAGTCTTTAAGTAGCCTCCCCTTAACACCTGCGTAACACTACTCTACTTTGCCTCTGATTGACTAGTGTTTGTTGCCTTTGTTGTTTGGTTGGTTATGTTTTGGCATGAGTGATGTAATCTTGACCCATTCTACTTCATCGTTTACTGTTGTCTATTCCAGTCGTTCCCAACCTGGGGGTCAGGAAAAGCTTCATGGGAGGTCATTTTTGATAACTACCCAGTAGGCCTATTTCTCAGCATTTTGTTCATTTCTGTAAAGAAAACTAAATAAATAACAATAAATTGTTCTTTTTAAAGTTTAGATTATTATTTAAGATGTAAACTTTGAAGACCTGAACACAAGCTATATTAGGAGCATTATCTCTCTGATAAACAGCTTCATCCTGCATTCGAATACAACCAAAAAGCTAATAAAACAAGGAGAATAAAACACAGATTTTTTCAAAATAAGAAACCTATTATGTATGTGTGATTGTTAAAGATTTAAAAACTCATAATACGAACAGATAATTATGTAAAACGTTTCTAAAAAATATCAGGAAAATTCTCACAGGAAATAATCTGCTCAAAATTCATCAAAATCTCTTGTTTTACACAAATGTCCTGCAGTTATTGTGTTATTGTATTCTCTGTTTGTGTTCATTGTACAGTTTATCAGTTGTTCTCTACTGTTATTGTTATGATTGAATACAATATGAAATATCCATAAAACATGTCACTGAGTCAGTTAACTCAATGATAGAAAAGGGGTTCCTTTAGGAAAAAGGTTGGGAACCACTGGTTTATGCGCACTGTGGAGACTGGTTCAGAGAGCCTCATGTTTGTGCAAGCAGGTTGTGATATTCAGTGTTGTACCTCCATCCAGTGGTGAAACTCCTTCATTACAAACACTGACCCTTAAACATTTCAGTCAGGTTGAGTACACCTAACATTGGGTTCAGTTATTGTTCTGTTTTCACTAAACTCTT